AGAAGAAGAGATTTTTGACATCCAGTACCTTCCTCCCTTGGGAAAGAGTGATCACGTCCTGTTAGACATTAAATATGCTTTAAGATATCATCTAGAAGAAAATGGGGACATTGAAACAGTTGATAAACTCAATTTAAGGAGAGGCAATTATGGGGAACTTCGAAATTTTTTTAATGAGTGTAATTGGACAGAATTGTTGCTAGGCAGGGAAGTAAATGAAATGTATGCCAAATTTTTAAAACTATACGAGGAAGGCACACAAACATTCATACCAAAACAGAGATGCAGGGCCAGAAAACAGGATTGGTTCGACAGAAATTGTGAGAGGGCAGGAGACCAAAAGACACAAAAATGGAATCAGTATAGGAAGAGGCCAAACCCCCAAACATACCAGTGATACAAAGATGCGAAAAACAACTATACAGCAGTAAGGAGAGAGGCAGAAAGAAATTTTGAAAAAGGGATAGCAGATAAATGTAAAACAGAACCGGGCCTATTCTACAAATTCATAAACAACAAATTGCAGGTAAAGGATAATATCCAGAGGTTGAAAATGGGAAACAGATTCACGGAAAATGAAAAGGAAATGTATGAAACATTAAATGAAAAGTTCCAAAGGGTGTTTGTACAAAATGAAATCTTCAGAGAACCAGACACAATAAGAATTCCAGAGAACAACATAGAGCGGATAGAGGTGTCTAGAGATGAAGTGGAAAATATGCTAAAGGAGCTCGGGAAGAACAAAGCAGCTGGCCCAGATGGCGTTTCACCATGGGTTCTGAGAGAATGTGCATCTGAGCTCAGCATTCCACTTCACCTGATCTTTCAGGCATCCCTGTGTACAGGAATCGTAACAGACGTGTGGAAACAGGCTAACATAGTTCCGATCTACAAAAGTGGCAGCAGGGAAGACCCCCTCAATTATAGACCAGTATCATTGACAAGTGTAATAGTGAAAGTATTGGAAAAGCTAATCAAAACTAAATGGGTAGAACACCTGGAGAGAAATGATATAATATCAGACAGACAGTATGGTTTTCGATCTGGAAGATCCTGTGTATCGAATTTACTCAGTTTCTATGATCGAGCCACAGAGATATTACAGGAAAGAGATGGTTGGGTTGACTGCATCTATCTGGACCTAAAAAAGGCTTTCGACAGAGTTCCACATAAGAGGTTGTTCTGGAAACTGGAAAATATTGGAGGGGTGACAGGTAAGCTTCTAACATGGATGATAAATTTTCTGACTGATAGAAAAATGAGGGCAGTAATCAGAGGCAATGTATCAGAATGGAGAAATGTCACAAGTGGAGTACCACAGGGTTCAGTTCTTGCACCAGTGATGTTTATTGTCTACATAAATGATCTACCAGTTGGTATACAGAATTATATGAACATGTTTGCTGATGATGCTAAGATAATAGGAAGGATAAGAAATTTAGATGACTGTCATGCCCTTCAAGAAGACCTGGACAAAATAAGTATATGGAGCACCACTTGGCAAATGGAATTTAATGTTAATAAATGTCATGTTATGGAATGTGGAATAGGAGAACATAGACCCCACACAACCTATATATTATGTGAGAAATCTTTAAAGAATTCTGATAAAGAAAGAGATCTAGGAGTGGTTCTAGATAGAAAACTATCACCTGAGGACCACATAAAGAATATTGTGCAAGGAGCCTATGCAATGCTTTCTAACTTCAGAATTGCATTTAAATACATGGATGGCGATATACTAAAGAAATTGTTCATGACTTTTGTTAGGCCAAAGCTAGAATATGCAGCTGTTGTGTGGTGCCCATATCTTAAGAAGCACATCAACAAACTGGAAAAGGTGCAAAGACATGCTACTAAGTGGCTCCCAGAACTGAAGGGCAAGAGCTACGAGGAGAGGTTAGAAGCATTAAATATGCCAAAACTAGAAGACAGAAGAAAAAGAGGTGATATGATCACTACGTACAAAATAGTAACAGGAATTGATAAAATCGACAGGGAAGACTTCCTGAGACCTGGAACTTCAAGAACAAGAGGTCATAGATTTAAACTAGCTAAACACAGATGCCGAAGAAATATAAGAAAATTCACCTTCGCAAATAGAGTGGTAGACGGTTGGAACAAGTTAAGTGAGAAGGTGGTGGAGGCCAAGACCGTCAGTAGTTTCAAAGCGTTATATGACAAAGAGTGCTGGGAAGACGGGACACCACGAGCGTAGCTCTCATCCTGTAACTACACTTAGGTAATTACACTTAGGTAATTACACACACACATACATACAGTGGCACCTCGAGATACGATTGCCCCTACTTATGATAATTTCGAGTTACGATATAAATTTCATCGAAAAATGCGAATCGACATCCGATGGTGTCGTCGACTTTCGATATTTGTTGGTACACGTTCGGGTCGACCGAGCGCGTGGTTCCCGGTCACGCGACCGACCTACCTCAATTTACTATAGCTGCCCGCTTAGTGACGATCGCGCCTATAAGAAATTCCGCTTTTGTGGTGATTTTTTGCATTTTGAACATTAAAGTAATTATTATATATCACACCATGAGTCCCAGGAAAGTCAGTGGTAAGGCTTAACATATGAGATCCCTTGTAAGAATGACCATAGAGCAGAAACAAGAAATCATTCGTAAATATGAAGATGGTGTGTGGGTAGGTGAACTGACTACGCAGTACAACAAATCTCAGTCAACGATATCCACCATACTGGCTAAGAAAAAGGACATTATGAGTGCTAAAGTGACAAAAGGCGTATCAATAATCATGAAACATAGACCACAAACACTTGAGGATGTTGAACAGTTATTATTAATTTAGATACACAACAAGGAGTTAGCGGGTGATAGCGTTTCGGAGGCCATCATTTGTGAAAAGGCAAGAAAATTGCATGAAGACCTTTTAAAGAAAACCCCTTGAACGAGTGATGCAGAAGTGAGAGTTTAAGGCAAGCAGGGGATGGTTTGAGAAATTTAGAAAAAGAAGTGGAATTCATGATGTGAGGCATGGGGAGGCTGCCAGCTCGGACAAACCAGCGGCTGAAAGATTCATTGGCGAATTTAAAGATTTTGTGCAGAGTGAGGCATACCTACCACAACAAGTGTTTAATTGTGACGAGACAGGGCTATTCTGGAAAAGATTTCCAAAGAAAACATACATTACCAAGGAGAAGTCATTGCCTGGACAAAAGCCTATGAAAGATCGGTTTACTCTTGTGTTGTGGTAATGCGAGTGGCGATTTGACAGCTGAGGAAATTTCTTCAGGGGAGGATGTGCCAGTACAGAATGTCTCTTCCTCAACAATTAAGAAAATGTGTGCAGCATGGGAAGAATTGCAAACCTTTGCTGAAACGACTCGCCCAAATCAAGCTGCAGTAGGTCGTTGCCTTAACCTATTCAAGGACATTGTGATGCATCTTTACAGACAAATGTTAAAACGAAGGGAAGAATAAATGTCTCTTGACAAATTTGTATTGAGACAAACAATCACTGAACCACAACCAGGTCCTAGTGGTATTCAGGCAAAACGTAGGAGAGAGAGTATCCCAGAGAGTACCCCTTCCATTATCACATCACTGCCTGATGTGATAATGGAACGGGACTCCCCTTCCAAACAGTAACAACTCTCCTCCTCCCCCCTCATCACCATCTTCCATACGCCATCAAGAGCCCTCCATAAAGGTAAGAGAAACTTAGGTACTGTATTGTAGTTAGAAAAAACTTTGTATTCAGTATAAAATGTATTTGTATGTTAATATTTTGGAGGGTGGGGAACGAATTAATTCAATTCCCTATATTTCTTATGGGAAAAATCGCTTCGATTTGCGATATTTCAACATACGATTCGTCTCTGGGAACGGATTAGCATTGTATTTGTTAATTCCCAAATTCAGTATAGTTGTATACTGTATCAACAATTGTAGTATAGTTGATTCATTCATAAAAACATTAATTTACTATCGTAAGTGGAGTGTTCCTGTGGTAATTCCTTTGGTAGACGACCTTGGGTGAGACTGGGTCAGTAGGCAGGGCTCTCACTTTGCGCCTCTCCTCCCCCTTCACCACCCTCACTCCGCCTCCCTCACATTTCCTCCTTCCTTGCAGTCAAGTGGATTAGGTATAGTAGATATACTAGTCTGTATTTGAAAGATTACTTAAATGTGTAAATATTTAAGTCAGGGTTAATTTTTTATATAGCCTGTGAATTAATCTAAAGATTAATTAAAGTAGCTTATATGTTTCTAAGTATTATCAGTAATAGGAATTTTGTATGTCATAATATTAACTAATCTATAAGAATTGACATGCCATGATTTGGGTAATCTGTAAGTTTATATTTACAGTATTCGTGTATTACATTTGTTCAAGATAGAATTCATCATTGCTGGGTACTGAGAATTCAGGGATTGAAGTAAGATAAGCTTGGTTTTCAGGGACCCAAGTAGAAGAAATGAAGTGATTTTAGCTGAAGGTAAGGTGTGTGTATTAATTTGTGGGTTTATCAAGTTAGAATCATGTTGGTATTTTATGTCGGTTCATTATTTACATTCTTGTTCTCCTAATCTTTCTCACATTCCCATTTCTGTCATGCTATTCCTTCAGCTCATTCTTTTTTAGTTTCCTGTATTACACTTGATTGATAACCATCACGTAATAAAGATGAATGTGAGACAGATATGGAGTGGCAGTGAGAGAATTTCTGTTGGACGCAACAAGTGACATCACTGGAAATGCTGCAAGATCTTTTGGCATTGAATATCTTGGTTAGATCAACAGTGTCTAATTACTTCCATGCACCATATATGACCCTGTTGTACTGCTGCCTGTTCGTCTTCTTGTCTGACTGAAGTGATGTGCATTTTATAGTGCACATCATAATACTTATGAGTAGCAAAAGTCTGAGAAATGCAGCATTTCTTATGTCTTGCTTTATTGTCATATACTGAAAGTTAATTCTAAAGATGTTGATGTGTAATTTTTTCTTGCAGGGGATACTATAGGAAAAGTCTTGGCAATAAGCAGCTTAGCACCAGTAGCCATTATTGTTGGATTTATTACTCTGATTCTCTTCAGACGAGATTTACACACAGTAAGTAGTTTCTGTCATGAATGTTTGTAGTGTGTCTTAGGTACAGTGGTTCACCCAAGAGCATGCTTTAGGGGGACGATGATTAAATCAAAGTTAATATTTATGTATATTCAAAGTTCTGAACAGCATATCCTCCAAGTCTAATTTTCATACCAAGTCTGATCTGTATTTTGATATAAAATATTTTGTTTATTACGTACCTCATTTTGGGGAGTTGTGTTATTGATAATAATAGGACATCTTTGTGTACAGTGGTGTCTCCAAGATCCACACTTCTCTATAATTGATCACTCTAAACATTTCACCAAATTCAGCCTCCGAATCTTTCTCCACATTTCAAATTTGTCAGAGAAAATCGATTTCAGAGGGGGGGGGGGCGCTGTGAAATTCAGATCATTAAGTAAAATAATTTCCTGCAGATTATTAACCCTCAAACCGCGCATATCATATATAAATGATATCAGTGACAAAACCGAAACCGCGCACATCATTTATATATGATTTCGTGTCTAGCGCTATAATTTAAACTCCCTGCCTGGGATAGGGGCAGCTATAGTACAGCCACGACCGATAGTTGCCAGATGCCACCTAGAAAAAAAATCCAGGCCAACATTCTTGGGTGTTACAGCGTCAGTATTGAGCAAGCCACCAAGGCTGGCGCACGCAGCATGAGCTCACAGCACAGCTGTTCAGCTTGTGACCACAGCATCGCCTACAAATACCATAATATATATGATACTGCTATTATTTAGCAGTGATAGTATTACTGAAGCCCCCTGACTGTGATAAAACTGACCAGGATTCTGATAATAGCAGGATTGTGGTGATATTTAGCGCTGTGCTCCATGGAGGGAGGCGTAAGGCTGTGCGAGGGAGGGTTGTGGCGTCGTCTTCTGACTGTGTGTGGCCACCATTTATTGACTGCACTCACCATACCAGCTTAGTGGTTCGATATGGTGAACACAAATGTAGATACTTATATATAACGTGTGTATAGAATGTGATAACAGCGAGAGGAGTAGGTTGGGAGCCGCCATTTTGGTGTGGGAAGAGCGTCGTCTGCACGTCTTGGCATGGTGTTTACTGATGGCCACTATGGTCTTTGGGCACCATACCAGCTTATTTGTTCAGGTATGGTGAATAAAACAGGTAGATACTTATATATAATATGTGTATATAGCGTAATAACACCACAAACAATATTGTTGAAGGACAAATATTAGTGCGTCTGGCCTTGAGGGCGGCCACCGATCAGCTGACTGTGTGAGTAGCTACGTCTTTGGCCTTTACTCACCATACAAGCTTAGATGTACAGTTATGGTGAACAAAACATGTAAATACGTATATATAACGTCTGTGTATAGTGAATAAATACGGAAAGAGTATTGTAGGAGGTGAATGAGGGTGAGTGAGGAGGTGTTGAGGGAGGGAGTGGCTCGCTGGTGTTTGGCGGTCACTCCTCGTTGCTTTTTGACTCACAAGACCAACTTAGTAGTTCGTTATGGTGTACAAAACATGCAAATACTTATATATAACCTGTGTATATAGTGTAACAACAGCAAAACTATTTGTTTATTGTTTTATGAACATAATAATTGAATCACTAATATGCACACCATAATTTTGAGTACAGCGATGGTTCACACATTTTATAATATAAATATACCACAATTCCCTGTATGGAATAATATTACTGCAAAAAAACTAAGAAAAAATCAATCAGAGACATTGAAATAATTAGGTAATAATATATTTGTGGCAACTGCCGTCTGACAGCTCGGGCGGAGTAGACCTCGTCTGGCGAAGGCCCTGCCAACGCCCCTTTTTTGCCACACTTTCCTACCCTATTGTGGCTAAAATATGCCACCTACGATTTTTTTGTTATTTTTTCCGTGATCAGGGAACAAAAATGAACACTTCTATAAGACGAAAGAATTTTTTGGTATTTTTTTTTTTTGTTGCGCCTGTGGGTGTGAATTCCATTTGGGCCCCTAGCGGTTTGAGGGTTAAAAACCTAGCATTGTACATGATGAAACGCCACTTTTTGGTAGAACTCCAGTGGCCCCTTGAAGCTGTGTTGCTAAGATTTCTCCATCTAATGGGTTGCATCAGTGCAGGAGTTTTATTTGGCCTACCAGGGACCAGAGCCAGAACCTGGTCCTCCTTCCCCTTACAGATGTGCAGAGAGCACGTGACAATTCACCACCCCACCGGGAAAGCATCCAGGAATTCGCCTAGGCTTTACAGACTCCTGTAGGGCTCACAGAAAATGAAGCCTCAAAACCACCAAACAACTCTATAAATGATTCAAATGAAACAATAGATTCACTCAAAACTAGCATGAACCATGCTAGAACTAAGGGAGCCGATTAGTTCTGGAGCCGATGAAGCTCCGTCACCCTCCCTTTCCCAGAGTGTCAATGTGTTTCATCGTCATAGAATTGATGGTGGGGTGGGCAGGCTGACCTGATATACCTCCCTCATTCCCCCGAATGAGGGAAAGGTGGGGTAAACTGGCATGCCCCAGTTTTACAAAATGTTGGGTTTGGTTTCATTGTTTGGGGGAGTTCTTTTGGTAATATTGTGGCTGCGGTCTCGTTTTTAACCATGCAATAGTCAGTTTTGGTTCACTTAACTTTTTGGGTGCTTCCCTGGTGGTGGCAATTATGATTAACTTTAAAGATAAGGTGTTCATTGGCCATCACTCCCTGCTCCTCTCTGCAGGGGCCAGGTTCTGGCTTGTGGTCCCTGGTGAGCCAATAGAGCTCTGCGATTGGTGGCACCTAGTAGTATGTCACTGATCAGTGTATGATAGCTCAAGGGAGGACCCTCCAGGGCATGCCCAGAAATTGGATTTTCATTACATTCATTGCTGGTTTAATATTATTACAGAACATATTCTGTTTACAAAAATACTGTACAAGATTAGTTATGGTCTTTTAATTATATTTTGCTGGTGGCATTGAAGGTAGCGATATTTTTGCAAGAATTGTTTTTTGTATATTTAAGTACTGTACTTTACCATTTTCAGATTTTGCATAATACAGTAATTTAAAAAGATAATCTAATTATTCATGGTTCAATCTTTTTACAGATAATGTTTTTTTTGGGGGCTCTGTTAAATGAAGCAATAAACTTGGTGCTGAAGAGCATAATAGCAGAGCCACGACCTATACAGAGAGGTGGACTCTACACAGAGTATGGGATGCCGTCCTCTCATTCGCAGATGATGTGGTTCTTTGCAGTATACTCAGTACTCTTCTTAATTTTCAGGTGAGATAATATTGTTAACAAAATACAGTATAGCTCAATAAATTTCTTTATTACATATGCTGTCATGCATTACAGTCTTAACACTTGTGGTGCAGCTTGTTCAGATTTATCACTTCCTAGCTAACAAAGGCAAGCTGGGAAAATATAGGCAACCTTATTTTAAAAATAAAAATTTTAACATTTACATCTTAGTATACAACACAGGAATTGTTGTATACTGTAAGGAAATATATTCTTCAGTTCTGGAAATAGCAATAATATTTGATTACTATATTATTTATAAATAAATAACAATTTATATTTGAATTAATTATCCGTTATGGTCATAAACCAAGGAAATTGGGACGTTTCTCATTAGCTTATCTGAGTTTCAGAGCCTTGTACCGATTGTGGGGCTAACCATTTGAGCTCTCGGAAGTAAAAGCAATTTGCCATGTGTTAATAACACTTTCGTGTTCCCGGCGTGCCTGCCCCAACCCACCCCAAGGTGGGCCTGTCATTTCTCGTGTCGTGCACCCACACTAAAATGTGCATACTTTTTTTTCAGTTTTCTCACGTCAATTTTCGTGTTACATCGTTCATTTTCGTATCAAAATGTTTGCAATAGAATTCTCTAAAGGGATATGTGCATATAAGGTCAAAAAGCTCGGCGTGCCATCCAGAGCAAACCTGAAAATCGGCCGAGCGTTACCCATGAGTGAGCACCCATCCGCGCACCATCACTAAAATGTGTATACTCTGTTCAATTTTCTCACCTCAATTTTCGTGCTATGTCATTCATTCTGATATTAAATTGTTTGTGATCTAAAGGTGCACATTTTAAAACTAGTCCCATATGAACAGGAAAAAATGGAATCTTAACATAGTATATTTTAATTTTGGATGCCACATGCATTCCCGCCGGACATCCACAGAGTTATTTGTGGACGTCAACACCGTCCCTAGAGGACGAAAGTGTTAAAAAGCCTCGGAGCTTTCACTTTGTTTGGTCCTGCATTCATTAAAAAGTCAGAGGGCTTGCTGTTTAGCCAAGGTCTTAAGTAATATTATGGTTATTTCTTTACTACAACTAGTCTTGCTATGACAGGTGTCTATTGCCTTAATTTATTTTTCATAAAATATACACTGTACTGAAAATATAGGGAAATTGATTATGCCAATATTAGTACTGCAGTATACTATAGTTTGTATACAACCTAAGATAAAATCTAACTTATGAAAGTTGCAGTTGTAGATGTTTCTGTGAAGATGTCAGAAACTCTAAAGGAATGCTGTAGATTCATTTAATTTTTATTTATATATATATACAGAGCACCACTTGGTTTCCGAACCCCTTGGGGACGAGACCCGTCGGTTAACATGTAAGTTCGTATACGAGAAATAGAGGGGAAAAAATAAACTAGAAATGTAAAAAGAAATTTTTCCGAAAAAATGTACGAAAAAACTCTAGGGGAAAAAATCGACAGGTTCATAGCGTAAATGCGACTGTGTTTTGTTTGTACTCACCAATAAGTGAAGTCCTGATCCGCTTTATAAAAGTCCTTAATTGTTCCTAACTGATTATTAAGACGTCTGGCAAACATCCTCTGGATGTTTCCTGCCAGCCTGCAGGCACATCCTGCCTAAAATATACGATGATGTACTGTACATTTAAGAAACAAATCTGGGTCACAGGTCTGTGGAGTGTGGTTAGGCTTACGGAGTCAGCCGGTCCCTCCCCCACCACCGATACACCTCCCCCTCTCCCCCCACCCCAAACCCATACACACACACACACACACTCAAAGGTCACGTGGTTCATGGTTCACTTCAACACCCATATATCGCTTCCTGCCTGCCTGCCTCCTTCCCAGCCTGCAAGCCTGCCTGCCTGCCTGCCTCCTTCCCAGCCTGCAAGCCTGCCTGCCTGCCTGCCTCCTTCCCAGCCTGCAAGCCTGCCTGCCTGCCTGCCTCCTTCCCAGCCTGCAAGCCTGCCTGCCTCCTTCCCAGCCTGCAAGCCTGCCTGCCTGCCTGCCTGCCTCCTTCCCAGCCTGCAAGCCTGCCTGCCTGCCTGCCTGCCTCCTTCCCAGCCTGCAAGCCTGCCTGCCTGCCTGCCTCCTTCCCAGCCTGCAAGCCTGCCTGCCTGCCTGCCTGCCTGCCTGCCTGCCTGCCTGCCTCCTTCCCAGCCTGCCTGCCTGCCTGCCTCCTTCCCAGCCTGCCAGCCTGCTTCCTTTCCAGCCAGCCTGCCTCCCTCCCTGCCATCATGCTAACGGGTAGTGTGTGTTAGGCTTATCTTCGGGAATGAGCCGGTCTCGCCCCCACCACCAACAAACCACCCGCCCCCCCTACATCCCATCTCTCAAGGCCACGCGGTTCAACTGCGTGACTACCACTCACTCCCTGCTGCGCCTGCCTGCCTGCCTGTGCCTGCCTGCCTGTGCCTGCCTGCCTGTGCCTGCCAGCCTGCCTTTCCCTCCCTAATTCTCACTACTTCCATCCCTTCCTGCCTACCTCCTAGCATCTCTCCCTACCTCCCCCTCCCTCTTAGCATCTCTCCCTACCTCCTAACATCTCTCCCTACCTCCCCCTCCCTCCTAGCATCTCTCTCTCCCCCTCTCTCACTGATTCTCCCCCCCCCCTCATTCATACTGCCTCCCACCTAAACTCCATCGGCCATCCACCCACCAGTCAGCCATCACTGACGCAATGCGTGCATTTGGAGCCAACATGGTGCACAGATGTTTCTTGATTGTGCAGATATGTAAAACAAAAGCACAGAATGAACATTCCAGCCTTATGGCAATTCAAAATAATAGGAATAATAGGCCGTGAATCTGTGAAGTCACAGTGGGCAAACTGGACCATCTCCCACCCACCACAACAAACCAGCGTGACGCTTGGCGGACCCCTTCCTACCCGAACTTTGTTCGGGTAGCATGACTACCCAACCCCAATCGGGAAACTGGAAGTTTCGGATAACTAAAGTTCGGAAACCAAGTGGTGCTCTGTATGTATGTATGTATGTATGTATGTATATATATATATATATATATATATATATATATATATATATATATATATATATATATATATATATATATATATATATATATATATATATATATATATATATATATATATATATATATATATATATATATATATATATATATATATATATATATATATATATATATATATATATATATAAAAAATATATATATATATATATATATATATATATATATATATATATATATATATATATATATATATATATATATAAAAGGATGTATATATATATATATATATATATATATATATATATATATATATATATATATATATATATATATATATATATATATATATATATATATATATATATATTGAAGAATATTGTACTAGTCAGACTTAATTTTGATAAACATTGTGAGGAGTTGAGTTCCAGCTCTTTTGTGTGTATGCAGTTGGCTTCCACAACCACCCCTCCTACAACACATTTCATTTATTCGTCACCCTCGCACTGAAAAAATTAATGTTAATATTTTGCTTTTTTGAAGATTCAATTTGTATTTGTGTCCCATCCCAATGTTCTGTCATTTCAATCAAATCCCCCTTGTACATTTCTGTAACTTTACAAATGTTGTTGGTTTTACTTTTCTTGAATTGTCTCTTTCCTAGTAGTAGTAGTAGTAGTAGTAGGCATTGATTACTGTTTTTTTTTATCACAATCAGGGTTCTTCTGTAATACTATCATCACTAAATAATACCATTTTCATATATATTTTGACATTTTTAGGCAATGCTGTGGTCACAAGCTGAACAGCAGTGCTGTGAGCTCATGCTACATGCGCCAGCCTTGGTGGCTCACTTAGTACTGAAGCTCTCACACCCGGGAATGTTGCTTACATTTTTTTTTTTAAATGGCGTCTGTTTACAAGAGCCCTGAGGAAGCTGATGTTAACCCCGTGTAGCTGCGAGACTTTTAAATCTTGCACTGTACTCCAACACATCAATAGCTGTGGTGCGCAATTCTGCGACAGTTATTCACCACAGCTATTGATGTGTTGGGCAGTTTAAGGGTTAAAAGGATGTAGTTATCTACTGTATAACAAAGAGTAGATGATGATGGAAACAATAGGTGCTCCAGTTTCCACACAAATTGCATAATTCTCTCGGTTGTTTACCTGTTGGTAAACAGGTCTCAGTTGTTTTATTGAGCTCCCATACTATAACTTTTGTAGGGCACATACTTGTAGTTAAAATTGTGTTAACAATTTGGTGGTGATTATTTTGTAAAAAAAGAAAATGGTTTGAAAGTTCCTGCCCAAAATAAATGTTTTCTGGGAGGGCTTCCTTGCTGGTTCCTTAATGCTAGCCACTTTGATAGTTCTACATGTATCATATTGCACCATGCCCTGGTGAGTTAAAATATGTATTTTTTATTTATTTATATATACAAGAGTTCTTACATTCTTGTACAGCCACTAGCATGCATAGCGTTTCGGGCAAGTCCTTATTCCTAATTTTCTCCAGAATACGACCCGCCAAATTGTTTAACAACCAAGTACCCATTCACTACTGGGTAAACAGAGGCTACAGTTAAGGATTGGCGCCCAGTCAGTCCTCCACGGCCAGGATATGAACCCAGGCCAAAATGCTCTCGAAGTGCCGGGCAAGTGCTTTACCACTATGCCATGGGGACTACTATCACCTACCACAGGGAAAAGGCCAAAACTTGGCCTACTCAAAAAAGTATAGGGAGTAGGGGTTACTAGATTACTTAAACCAAGAGAAAAAGCCACTAGAAAGGTAGAACAAATATGAAATATGAACAACTGACAACCTGGAACACAGTACTGTTAGTTAGGGCATTACCCCCATTTCTTCATCTCTTCCACGCTTTTGTTTACAATGAGTGATATTCTTACTCGCAAGGGCCTTGTGTGACGTGATGTGTGCAGAGTTATCCAGGGGACTTACACCAAAAGGCACCATGAGGCCTACCAGAAAGAGCTGTTTCATTACAATCAACACTAGATTATTGTGTTTTTTTAATTGCTCATTCTCTTGTTGTTTTCTAGAGAGAGCTCCCCTGGTGGCTCCTTGAAGCTATCTCACTGATATTGCTCCCCACTTCTCGGTCACATCATTTGCAGGTGTTATGTTTGCCAGGGGCCAGAACCTATGGCACCCTCATGGAGATACAGGGAGTGAGTGACAATTCGCCACCCCACTGGGGAAGCATCCAGAATGGTTGTCTGTAAAGTGCTGCAGAGCTTTACAGACAACTGCAAAGTTCACAGAAAACAAAGCATTGGAACTGTCAAACAAATCTGGAAATGATTCTAGTCAAACAATTGGTTCAGCCAAAACTATCTTGAACTCATTAGTACCGATAGCCGCCACCAGGCGGCCCAGGCCTCTGCCCACAGCTGGCCACCCTGGATCAGTTCTGCCATTTATGCTGTTGTATTAACAATCTGTAGTGCTCCTGGATCCTAAGCTTTTGCAGCAAGCCCCCTCTGATTTTTCCCATAGGGGGCCATTTGCTTATATTATCTGTGGGGAGCTTCATCAGCTCCCCACAGACTACTGTCTTTCCTTGGGTTTGGAAGTGTTTTTGGCTGGTGGGGCACACTGCAGTCTGCGTGACCTGTTATTATGTTAGCACACTGCACACTATAAGTTTCTTCCAGGCTGCTTGTTTGCCAGAGTTAGGTCCTGGGGGTTTCTTGACGTTTTTCATTTACATTCTGTTTTCACTTGTCTCTTCGGCTTAGGGGTTCTCCCTTTCGCCTTATTAGGCAAGCTTAGGGTGTGTGCAGTGGAACCTTTTGGTTACCCCCTTGTCTTTTCCTTTGGCTTCAAGTGGTCTGGTTGCCTGCAATGACAGGGTTTACCAGTATAGCAGACACCAGTGCCTGGGATCCTGCAGGCCCTGGAAAATGCCTGCAGGCTTGGTAGTATTATGGATACCTCTTCCAAGACCACTCTCGCTTTGTGTTAATTAAAGGGTTGTTCGTTACCTGTGCCACCTGGTGACATTCATACGTTCTGCCTCTGCCTTGCTTCCAATAGGGTCGGTGACACCTTCAACCCGAGTCTTGTGAGACTTGTCCCCCTCCCCCCATGTGCTACATGTCACTCATTCCTCTGTTATTAGGTCCAGTCCATAGTTATTAGGAAGAGGTCACTTTGCATTGTAGGTTTTCTGTTTTGCAGCAGGCCAGGTTGTGTGCCAGGTACTCCTCTTAATATATATATACTGTATAATAACAAATACCCTGTATATACAGTATAGTATAACTCATAATGTTAACTTACTTGTGTTCTTACCAGATTACGTCACATAAGTAACTCGGTCATGGAGCTGCTGTGGAAAGTGATGGTAGCTGTCGGCCTTGTTACTGCAGCTTTAATTGTTATGTATTCCAGGTATTGTTTATTATTACTGAGTTTATTATGATGTAAGGCATGGGGAACCTTTGACCTGCTGTGTGTTTGGGAGTCCTGCCACAGTTATCATATTTTGTTTTGCATTTTACATGGCAATTATGTAAAGATATGACATTAAACAAAATTTATTTACCAGGAATTGTTATAACTTCCTTAAATCTTAAAGGCTGATTATTGTTAAATGACATTCTCTGTAGGGGCACTAGTCAGCAACATATGACAGTTTTGGTGCCAGTGTTGGAACAGCATGCCGAGTTGCCAATAGACATCTTTGATATTGCCCTGCAGTTACTTTCCACTATGGTACTCGTAAAGTCAGGATGCTAAAGCTACATAGTCTTTTAGGCTTGGTGCTTTCTTTTGATAATTATTTACGATTTAGAGTACAGCACATTAGTGTCGGTTCACAAATTAGACTTACGGGGTGGACCTTGATCTGAATCACTCGGAGATCCAAATTACCAAAATTTCCATATGTAATGAGCATATATTTACAGCTCAAAGACAGCATCTTCATAAAATAAGTAGAACAAAATTACAGTGCAACCTCAATTCATAGAACTATGTGGGACCAACCCTGATTCATTGGAGTGAAGGATTCATTGCAATGCCTTCTAGAGTCTTCTGGAAGATGAATTTTTTTTCTTTTGATTTTAAGATGAAAAATACATTGCTTCAGCTGTTTCCTTCTAATGTTGCTTCTATGTACAAAAATCATTCAAAATATGATTGGAGGCATATTAGTTACTATTCATACACTAATATTTCCTATGCTCTGTGGTACAATGTCACTGAGGGAAATTTTCCCTCGGGTCAGGGTTTACTTCTCTGGGGTGTTTGGGATATGCTCCCTTTAGAGGGCCTCGTCACTGGGGGTGGTCTTTGCCCTTAAGGTAAGCCAGTGGTCTGTGACTGTCTGTCTTCCCTGGGGCTGGGAGTGTCTTTGGCTGGTGGGGTTCAATGGGAGTTACACAACTAGCTATTCTATTAGTACATAGGGGCGCCAGTGTTTCTCCATAGTTGCCCATTTTCCACTGCTTAGTTTTGGGTGCTGGGGTTTTGTGTTTTGTTTTTTTATTTTCTTATTTGATTCCTTTTTTCTGCACCCCTTTGACCTTTCCATTGGTTTCGGGTAGCTAGGTTGCCTGTTACCTGCAGGGACTTCTACCAGCATGGTATTCCCAGTGCCTGGGCTGCCTGTAGAGCGCATACCCTACAGACTCAGTTGTACTATGATTACTTCTTCTGAGTCTGCTCTTGCCTTGTGCAAATTTTTGGGTTATTCATTGCTTGTGTCACTTGGCGACGTTCATAAGTTCTGCCTCTGCCATGCTGCCTGTTGGGTCGGTGACACCTATGAATCAGTATCATGTGGAACTTTTTCTCCCCCATGTGTTTCAGATCACCTACTCCCCTGGTGAAGCTTAGAGGTTTCAGGCAATGACCACTTTATATTCCTAGTTTTCGATTTTACAGCGGTCTTGGTAGTGTGCTCGGTTGGATCTTCTGGATCTGCCTCTCTTAATGTTTAGGGACTCAGATTTGGAGGAGTTATTCAACTCGACCTTGGTTCCATCCACGCCACCTCTTCCTTCCCTGGTTGGCTGGCTGCACTCTTCTCCGACCTGCTTCCTGCTCCAAAGCATTTGAGGGCTTCAGTTTCAGAGCAGGGTTTAGCTCGGGATGTCACTTGAAGGTTCTGGGGTTTGCCCCTACCGACATGGGCTTATTGCTTAATGGGCAGTTGAGCTTTAAGATTGTTCTGAAACCTCCTATGTCTTCCCAGTTGACCACTTCTTTCGAAGCTTTTAGTTTCTCTTCCGGGTGGTGGGTATGGATGAGAGTTCTTCCCCGGGGGGGGGGTCCTCTTCCGCAGTTCACGGGGCTCGGGGTAGTTGGATTGGAGCTCTTGGGTGTTCAACACACACTCTAGGTTGTTGCACTACCTGGTTGTTAAATGATTTGGCAGGTCATGTTCCAGGGAACATAGGATTAAGGAATTGCCTGTAATGCTGTGCATGCTAGTGGCTATACAAGAATGTAAGAACTCTTGTATATATAAATAAATAATTAAATAAATAAAGTGTTCAACCCATTTGGTTTTAACTATTGTTTTTAGTGTTTTGACCACCACACTTCTTTATGATTAGAGCCTATAATTTAGAGGTTCTTCTTGATTGCTATTTTTATAGATTAGTACTATGTTTGCCTTATATATCTGTAAGATTCCTGTGCACAAGGATGTCTGAAATATTAATTGGATTTAAATGCTCGGCTCAGTTGCACATTCTCGCTGTACCCAAGGTGAATGCCATCAGGTCCAGCTACTTTATTTCTTCCTAGCCCCTTGAGTAATTTTTCCACTTCGACTTAAGATTCTGCTATGTATTCAATGGCGTGCTCTGGAAATTGCCGTTGAGTCCGGCTCTCTGAAATCCTCATTTTGTACAAACACACTTTTTGCTGTTTTTTTTTTTTTCACCCATTTTAGTGGTCCTCTCCCTTTTTTGTCTTTCTGTGGATCAGCATCTTATGCTGAATACCGACACCTAGTCTCATTTCACCATAGTGAAACCACTTTTATTGCTTTTGCCTCCACTTGTCAAGCTATGAAGCTTCATGCTCTCTTCAAGAAGCATAGGCTTTGTTCTTTTGGCCCTGGTGGGCAGTTTTGTTGTTTGCAGCCTTCTCCTTTTCTCTGGTTAAGAATGAGTTGGTTTCCAGAGGGGTCCTTTGGTTATTGATTTGTGATTCAACCAGCCAGGGGTGCATCATTTATTACCTAAGGGTAGTTACAGGATGAGAGCGTCTAGTTACAGGTGTTAGCATTACAGGTGGTGTCGAGTTGTGTCTAGATGCATGTGTCTGTCGCTATCTGCTCGCTACCCAGACTGCTTCACACGACTCGTTATGTGGGTCCCATTTCGCTGTGCTTAGCAAGAAGGTGCCACATTTTGGCTGTCTAGAAACCAGCATTTGATTTGTAATGAAACGCCTCATTCTGAGGGGTGGCTTTGGGGGCTCCCTGCCCGATAGTTCCATGGGTTTGCCTTATGACTGAAGGTTTGTTGACATGGGATCCAGCAGCTCCATTGGTACTTCCACCAGGTGATGGGAAGCAGTAGCTAAGGGGGTGGGTGTTAGCTAACTACTGGGTGGATTGTTTGCTGTGTTGTTTACTCTTTTGATCTTGCTGTTGTCTGTTATGCTTCACTACTTTTTGGGGGCTTGACTTCTCAGTGAAGGTGATCATGTATTCCTTGCTCTGTGTGCTTCTTTACGAGGACCAGGTTTTGGCCTACGATTCCCGGTAGGGTTTAAGTGATTCTCAGGGGCTGCTGTAACTTAATATTGTGGAGGAATCTCAGTGTGTTTAGCAACAAGGAGCCACTGAGGCCTCTACAAAAAGAGGCATGCAATGCTTTTTTTTTATCTGAAAAGAACAAGATGAGTCAATTGCTGTAGATTTTAAGATTTATAATTTTATCAAATGGCATTTTGGTAGTACTGTAGTAAGAATGGTAATATTAACAATCCTTGTGAAAGAGCTAAAAGAGCAAAAAGTGTTAGGTCTATATATAAAGGTTGAAACTGTTTGAAGACAATTTAATTTCCTGAAAATGCAATTATATAACACTTCCTTTTAACATGACAGAGTGTACCTGCTTTACCACACATGGAGTCAAGTGCTATTGGGTGCACTTGTGGGTGTATTACTTGGCTGTAGCTGGTTCACACTCACCCATCTGGTATTGACTCCAGTCTTCCCAGTTATTGCATCATGGTAGGTGACCTGTACTTCTCACATCTCTTCTGGGGAAGCCCCTTGTGGCTCCTACCTATCTGTTGACTACCTGCTGAAGATTCTGGGTCTTCCAGGACTTAATGTCACACGGCCCGGTCTCTGACCAGGCCTCCTGGTTGCTGGTCTGATCCGCCAGGCTGTTTGATGCGGCTGCTCGCAGCCTGATGTACAAGTCACATGACTCATACATTTTGCCATGTTCTCCAGGTCACAGCCTGGTTTATCAGATATCCTTTGAAGGTGCTTGTTGAATTCTCTTTTGAACACTGCGAGAGGACGGCCAGTTATGTCCCGTATGTGTTGAGAGGGGGGGGGGAAGAGTGTTGAAAAGTCTTGGACCTTTAATGTTGATTGAGTTCTCTGTCTTCCTATTGTACCTCTGCTTTTCAGTGGAGCTATTTTGCACATCTTTCCTTACTTTCTGGACCCATGTGGTCTTATTTCTGTGTGCAGATTTGGAATCAGTTCTTATATTTTCCAAGTATAGATTATTATGCAACTCTCCCACCGATGCTCCACGGAATACAGATTTAACATTTTTAGGCGGTCCCAATAATTTAGAGGTTTTATTGAGTGTATTCTAACAATAAAGGACCTTTGCCATGTTCTCCAGGTCAGCAATTTCTCCAGCTTTGAATGGGGTTGTTATTGTGCAGCAGTATTCCACTCTACAGAGCACTAATGTCGTAAAAAGTATTATCATTGGCGTGGCATCTCTTGTTTGGAAGGTTCCTGTTATCCAACCCTGTCATTTTTCTTGCAGCTGTGACAGCAACTTTGTTGTGTTCTTTAAAAGCAAGGTCTTCCAACATAGTTGTTCCTAAAACCTTTACATAGTTTTTTCTTTCAATAGTAAGAATGGATTTTTTTATATATGGTTTCTGCTTTGATGTGTTCATTTTTTCTAAATAGAACAGTAATTGGGACTTATCCTCGTTAAACATCATGTTATTTTCTGTGACCCATTGAAAGGCATGATTAACTTCAGATTGGAGGTTTGCCATGTCCTCTATGTTGTCTACTCTCATGAAAATTAGTGTCATCTGCAAAGGATAATACAGTACTATGGTTTGTATCCTCGTCTATGCCCAATATGAGGATGAGGAAAAGTACAGGAGCAAGTAAAGAACCCTGGGAGAACTGAGCTTTTGACTGTGTGGATGATTCAGATTTTACTTGGTTGACTATTACACTCTGGGTTCTGTTTGTTAGGCAGTAAAAGATCCATCTACCTACTTTACCAGTAATTCCTTTTGTGCACATTGTGTGTGCAATAACACCATAGTCACAATTGTCAAATGCTTTTGCAAAAACTGTGTATATTATATCAGCTTTTTGTTTGTCTTTCATAGCATCTAGGGTCATGTTATAGTGGTCTAGCAATTGTAAAAGGCAAGTGTGCCCTATTCTGAATCCATATTGCCCAGGGTTATGTACACTGTTTCCTTGTGCTTTGTGATCTTACCTCTTAGCACCCTTTCAAAGATTTTAATGATGTACAATGTTAGGTCTATAATTTTGTTTGCATCAGCTTTACTACCACCTTTGTGAAGTGGCATGATCTCTCCTGTTTTAAGTATGTCAAGGATAACACCAGTATCTAGGCTTTGGCCTACTGACCAACTACTGGCCTAGTTGACCAGTATTGGAATTACTGGCAAAGTAGAGAAATGCATCTTTAACATTCTAATGAACAGAACCCAAAGTGTAATAGTCCACAAAGTAAAAATCCAGATCATCCATCGTGAAAAGTTTTGCCCCCCCCCCATATGGTACCGTACTTGCTCCAGTACTTTTTCTCATCCTCATGTCAGACATAGACAAGAATACAAACTATAGTACTGTATCATCATTTGCAGGTGACATTAGGATTTTCATGCGAGTAGACAATATAGGGGACACAGCAAACCTCCAGTTAATTGGGTATTTCAATGGGTAACTGATAATATCATGTTTAATGAAGATAAGTTAAAGCTCCTGTACTATGGAAAAACAAAAATATAAACACAGAAACCATATATAAAATGCAGTCAAATTATGCTATAGAATGAAAAAGCAATACAGTATAAGGGATCAAGGAGTAATCATGTAGGAAGATCTTTACTTTAAAAAATACAATAAAATAGCTGTCAAACTGCAAAAAAAAAAAAAAAACAGGTTGGATAACAACCTTCCAAACAAGGGATGCCATACCTGCCATACCAATGATAACACTTTTAAAGACACAAGTGCTCTCTTGGGTGGAATATTGTTGGACATTAACAGCCCCATTTAATGCCAGAGAATTGCTAACCTGGAGAGTGTGCAAATATCCTTTACTACTAGAGAGGATCTAGTGTAAGAGTTTACTTGTGTACATTGTGTTTACAAAGTGTACAAAGAGTGTACACTGTACCAGGTGACCAGGCCTCCATGGGTCGTTGATCCCCAGAAGCTACACAAGGTAGACACCCTTTATATTTCTCTATAAAATGTCTAAATTATTGGGACAATTGAAAGTTCTAAATCTGTATTCTCTAGAGCGTACACGAGAGGGGTACTTTATAATTTACACATGGAAAATATTGGAGGTAGTGGTTCCAAATCTACAAATGGAAATAACATCACAGGAAACCAGTAGGCATGGCAAGATGTACAAAATAGCCCCATTGAAATGCATAGGTGCAATAGATACACTGAGAGAAAACTCTATCAACATCAAAGCCCAAGACTTTTCAACACACTCCCACTACACATAAGAAGCATAAGTGGCCTGCCTGTTATGGTGTTCAAGAGTAAACTTGATAAACACCTCAAAGGATACCTTATAAACCAGGTTGCGATTCATGTCAGGCTACGAGCAGCCACATCCCCTGGTTGACCAACCAGGAGGCCTGGTGAAAGACCAGTCAGCAAGAACGTTAATCTTCGGAACCACCACAAGGTAACAAGGTAAGGCACACTTGGCTGGTTTGGGTGCACTGTATCATATTACTTATATAATTCCTTGCAAGTGTTCCCAGTGTCTGGGTGGTCCTGTTTGCACCTCACTGACTTGGAGCAGTAAAGGTAGCTATTTGACTGTTCTTGAGACTGGACCTCAACAATGCTTGCTTGTGCCAAACCGCTGGAGATGGGAAGTAACATTTCAGCCAACAGATTGAAATCGGTGAATATGCAGCTGGAGATCATCAGGAATCATATACTCATCAGAATAATTTAGATCAAAATTTTTGGTCCATGTAAGGAGACTAAACATACCATTTAATGTGGGAGCATGCAAGGCATGAGAGCAAGCCAAGGGTGAGTATGATGCCACAGATCCCCATGCATAGTGAAGGGAGTATATAGCATCATCGAAGATTTTGTAAGAGATGAAGAGCTGGTCACACCAGATGAGATAGTATGAACTCCAAGGGTAACAAGGAGAGTATTGGGGGATATCCAATGAGGAATCTGAATGGCAACCCAGGGACCAATAGGGATACTTACCCTCCAGTGCCTGTTTGACCCAAGTACAGCTATGCCAATTAGCCAGACTTGCAGATTGTCAGGCATTGCTGAACCTCCCATTTTACTCCTGTAGTCCCACCACAGATGCATATATCCTAGGAGCTGCAATCACTGGGTAGGCTCAGAATCCAGATGAAGGAAAATTGGGAATATACAAGATTCTGTACATGGCAAATGTATTGGTGGCAAAGCTAGACATATTTGGTCGAGCTCCTTCTACCCCAGCAGTCATCTGTAGAAACCCACTTACAGAGCCAGCTTGGCTGAAGGCACTCGAGCCACACTGCTGTCAATGACAGACTGCTATATAGCCTATATAATTATAAAAAAGGCTTAACACTTTTTGATAATTACTTGTATTATGCATGGGAAGTAATGTGCTAAATTGCTTTACAGAAATGTGGATCCAGATAACATTGTTAGTTTCTGAAGTCCATACTATAATAAAACAAAATATAAAATCACATTGTTTTATATAAAGAACGCTGTACTGCATTTGCAACAATCCTACTGTACATGGTTATTTAAAATCTAGAATTTGTAGTATAATTAATTAATTCCTAATTGTTGATCAGACCACACACTAGAAGGTGAAGGGACGACGACATTTTGGTCCATCCTGGACCACTCTCAATCGACTTGAGAATGGTCCAGGACGGACCGAAACGTTGTCGTCCCTTTGCCTTCTAGTGTGTGGTCTGGTCAACATACTTCAGCCACGTTATAGTGACTTCTCGTCTGCATAATTCCTAATTAATTGTAATCTAATTAATAGTCTTATTTATGCTCATCATTTTGGGCAATTCTTAAGGCTAAGAGAAAAGGTTTGATAAGAATAGTAATGAATTGGGGCAATACTGTATTATAAATTAGTTTTCTTAATTCTACATGGTATTAACAAGATTTGCAGTTTTATTAACAAAACAATTCTTTGACTAGTGGCTTTCAAAGTGTCCTATTGATTAATATTTCAGGAGTGTTTGTGAGCGGTTTATGATTCGTGACACCTCTCTGATCCCTAACATCTTGTGGTTTGAATATACACATGCACGTACAGAGAATAGAGCTAGAAGCCGCAAACTTACGTCCATGAAGAGTCAGTGATTTAATGGATAGAAAACTGTCCATGTGTGGACCAACAGGTTTGCTGACTTGGTGGGTAATTGATTATTTTTATGAAAAGGAGATTTTACTAACAAATCCTTGTAATTTTTACAAATAAAAATGATAGTATGAAGGGTAACATTCCTGACTGAAATTTCATACAACCGTGGACCAATAGGTTTGTTGTTGAAGTGTTGAATAGAACTTGCCATAAAATGATTAACACAAATTAAGCACAAGTTAAGGTGAAACTGGTTTTGGTGGTAAAGGATTTTAATCATTTTGTTAAATTTGTTCTAATTCCATTTGAATTCAGACTAAAATACTGAACTGTACTTCAGTTGTTACTTGAATAAGTACAGTATAGACTAGAATGTTTAAACAAAGATTTAATTGCTTTTTTTATTAGACAAAAGCATTTGATAATAGACTCGTGTGTGTCCTTCCATTTACAGTACTGTATTGTACTACCATGAATAGACCTGTGTGTAGTGTATTTTGTGTGTACATTATTTGATCACAAGTATATTTATTGCAGGTGTACCACCTCCAAGGCAACAACTCCTAGTCTCACTGTTAGTAGTTTTAATTAAAACAGACACTATTACTGTGAATTGTGTTGTCATTTATCCTAATCACAAGACAGCCTACCAAAAATTAAATTGATACAGTATACTGTATGTGTTTAATTACAAGACAGTATGAGAGATCCTAAGTATTTGTCTTACCATTGTTACACAACAGTAGTTGTGCTTGTCTTACCAAAGTTACACAACAGTAGTTGTGCTTGTCTTACCATAGTTACACAACAGTAGTTGTGCTTGTCTTGCCAAAGTTACACACCAGTAGTTGTGCTTGTCTTACCAAAGTTACACAACAGTAGTTGTGCTTGTCTTACCATAGTTACACAACAGTAGTTGTGCTTGTCTTACCATAGTTACACAACAGTAGTTGTGCTTGACTTACCAAAGTTACACACCAGTAGTTGTGCTTGTCTTACCAAAGTTACACAACAGTAGTTGTGCTTGTCTTACCATAGTTACACACCAGTAGTTGTGCTTGTCTTACCAAAGTTACACAACAGTAGTTGTGCTTGTCTTACCATAGTTACACAACAGTAGTTGTGCTTGTCTTACCAAAGTTACACAACAGTAGTTGTGCTTGTCTTACCAAAGTTACACAACAGTAGTTGTGCTTGTCTTGTAATTACTAGGCACCAATCCTTAACTGCCTGTTCAGCCAGCTGGTTGTTAAACGATTCGCAGTTTGTATTCCTGGGAAACATAGTGTGTAAGGTTTACCATGAGTTATGGGAAGGGAATGCTCTTGGCCTGCTAACAGGAGTCGGCAGTTGTCGGTTCCTGTACTCGCCTGTTGAAAAAAAAGAAAACTATCAAAACTCCTATTTTGTAGCTTAAAGCTTTTACAACCATTACAGGGGTTGCAATGTACAGGTGTTTAACATTAGAGGCAGTAAGTATGCAGGTGTCATATACAGCTGTCATTAAATCAGTTTCAATCTCATCTGTCTGGTGTATAGCACTGTTGTACAATGTTTAGTATTTCTCTTAGAGTATACTGCATTTATTATGGGGCCCAGAGGAAACATCCATGACATTTGGTACCCTTTTGCATAAACTTTTTATTTTTATACTTTTACTCCAAAATTCATAAAAAAAATTTTTCTTAAAAGGTTATCAGCAACTTTTGATCTTAAAATATTATATTTCTCTTTCTTAATCCACTTTATGGCTTGATGATACTGAGCCATAGTGCTACATCTGGTCTGAGGTAACCAGCCATCTCGGCGGCACCCCACTTCTTCCCATAGATTATACCAAAATATAGATATATTTTGGGATTCCCCTAGCGTGATCGTTCCAAGCAGGCCTGCCTCTCCATCTGTTCTTGGAGGGATACTTTCTTACCCCGCCCTAACTAGCATATCTTCTTGAGGTTATCTTGAGATGATTTCGGGGCTTTTTAGTGTCCCCACGGCCCGGTCCTCGACCAGGCCTCCACCCCCAGGAAGCAGCCCGTGACAGCTGACTAACACCCAGGTACCTATTTTACTGCTAGGTAACAGGGGCATAGGGTGAAAGAAACTCTGCCCATTGTTTCTCGCCGGCGCCTGGGATCGAACCCAGGATCACAGGATCACAAGTCCAGCGTGCTGTCCGCTCGGCTCCCAGGCCGGCTCTCCCTCATTGAGACTGTTCTGATGCATGTTACATAGTTCTGGCAATTTCATCGATTGCAATTTGAATATTATCACGTTTTCCATTAAGCAGGCTTTTAAACTTATCCAGGTCAACAATAGTGGCTTTCTCACAGGTTAAATGAGTTTTAGGGAGGTTTTTGTTCTCACTGCCAGCAGCAACTTGCAAGTGAGGTATATTGAAGGTGGCTATGACAGGAAGATGCCCAGACAGGTTGTCACCATCACTTATATTCTTATATGCAGAGATGTGACCAGTTGGATCATCATCAATGAGAAAGCGATCAGTGCGTAGCGAGTAGATTATCCCAATAATATACTCGCTCTAAATGCTTTGTTAATATTCCTGTCAACCTTTGGAGATGAATGAGGTGAGGCGTTGCCCGGGCATATAAGCAGCAGAATAGCAAACATTAACCAGAGTCTACTTTCAAGTGTGGTCTAGAGCAGACACTTGCGAGATACTGTACCGACGCTCAGTGCGCTCAACTCACACCAAAGTATCACCTGTGTACTTCTGTATATTCGACCAAATATATATATAGTATCTTAGTGTCTCTGTTTATTTGTCACCATACTTTACGTAACAATAGAACCGTTACAAGTGTGAGACCTGCCCCCAAAAGCCCAGCAAGGAAGAAGTTGACACAGCAGCTGGCAAAGGGGTACACCTAACGATTGTGACAGCAGCAAAAGGGGCTGAACTGGAGATAACAGAACAGCTGTCAAAACAGGCAAAGTTCAAACTCCCTCACAACCACTCAAACAACCATCAAGTAGCCTGGGTCATATTCAATACCTACAGACGGCAGTGCTGAAGCCAGGTCGAGGTTGCCAAAGGAAGGAATAGCAAAGTAGACTGGGTCCCACATGAGGCCCCAACCCATCCTCACACTAAGCTGTTTAAAGCAGCGACCATCCTCCCCAGACGCATTTATCAATTTTACCATACTGTGTACTGTATTAATTAAAAATTGCTTTGTTCTCATATATAAATTAATATTATTATACGTACAAATTCTATGTATAGTTAGGCATAGGTTCTGCTGTCGATTATTTGTTTTTGAAGTAAGTGGGTGAAACATTTATAGAATTGTGGTTCAAACAGAGGACGAGCGAAGCACTTATTCCGGAAGTGTTCGGACGTCATCGGTTGTAAACTGCTTTTCATTCATAAACCAACCCGTTCTCGCAAATTTAATAAGTCAATATTGACTTATTAAATATGTGCATAGGTGACATACTTAACATAATAGATACCCTTAAAAAGATTCATAGAAAACACCGACCTTACCTAACCTACTTAGTATGTTAAGATAAGCATCTTATTGCTTCGTAATTACAATTATTACCTAACCTATAATAGGTATAGGTTAAGTAATAATTGTAATTACGAAGCAATAAGATGCTTATCTTAAGATACTAACAAGGTTAGGTAAGGTCGGTGTTTTCTATGAATCTTTTTAAGGGTATCTATTATGTTTAGTATATCACCTATGCACGTAGTTAATAAGTCAATATTGACTTTACGAATTTGCGAGAACGGGTTGTCATAAACAGGGGGTTTGGCAGCTGGATTGACGAGCATGGATCTTTGTATGCAAGGATGGGCTGGAGGCCCAGCCAAGTCTGAACCTAGAACAGAATCAACTGGACCCCTCACTACGGTGGGATTATTTTCCTTATTCATTTATTTTCAGTTTTAGTCCTTTATTTGTTGCCCGTTTGCAATTTATTAGTTTTATTTACCAAGTTTTCTTTAGACACATTACCCTCACTGCTTTTACATGCCTTTTCCAATTTATTTATTAATAATAATGATTCATTGTGTTGTGAGACAGGCAGCCAGTTTATTCACACAGTTCATGTTAGGCTTATATTGAGGTTCTCCCCAGGGTCGAATTACTGATCCTCTCCAGGATGCAACCCCGGACTCAACTCTCGGATACCTATTTATTCCTAGGTAAACAAGAGCATTAGACGATAGGAAATGTGCCCAACCATTTTTGTCCTGCCCGGGATTCTCGAATAAACTCGACTGTGCTACCGATATCTCTTAAAAAAAAATTTACTTATATTTACTAAATTTTTTAATTGGACACGTTCCTTCTCAGCTATTACATGATTAGACACGCTCCTTCTCAGCTATTACATGGTTACTTGTTATTCACTTTGTTTTTAAGTGTTATATTTATTTTCATTGGCCATGTTCCTCTTTTTCCCCTCTGCTTCTTTCTCATTGTATACGTTCCGTTTACTCCTCCTAAGCTGCCGTTGCGAGGAGGAGGCCACTGTTTAGTTCCTGTAGGTCCAGACAGCTACCTCCACCTGGCTTACTCCCACCAGAAAAAGCCTAGTATCCACTTTTTATATTTACACCAATAGTTCAGTTCTGGTTTACATTACTACTTTATTACTACATTGCTGAATTTTTTTTGTTTTACACATTAACATTTTATTCTCTAGGTGAACTATATATAAATCCAAATACTGATGTGCATTATGAGCCTCACAGCACTTTGATGTCACTTCCTTAGTCCATCATCAGATTCACACTGCCTAGCAAGGTAGCAAGAGGAAGACTATAGGGACAGGCTACTTTGAAAAGTTCGCCATTTGATTCCAGTAACAGACCATTGACATTTCTAAAGATTGCAAACTGCAGAATGAACGATGGTAGAAAACTGAATAAGGAACCCTTTACTGAAGATACAACAGGCTTGTATTCCTCTTTAGCAACTGTGTGTGTGCAAGTTCATTTGAGGTAACATTAATATGGCTGAGGTACCCAGCAAAATTCAACTTACATCTGTCTTAAATCTGCTGAAGATGAGAAAGTCAGCAATGACTTTCAAGCACCACAGAATGTAAATGGTACACTCTCGAGAGCCATGAGGGCAATAATGAACACTGATGCATAAAAAAGTAGCTGGTAAAGAGCACACACAAGTGTATAAAGCTCTGCTGTGAAGGTGCTAGTCTCTGGGGTATGCAATGCATGCAGGTTTAACAAGAAAAAAATGTAGAACCCAACCCCATCAGCAGACTGACCCATTTGTGAAGAGAGCATAAAGAATGAGAATGGCATGAACTGCTTTTATTTCTTTAACATTTTTCTAATAGGAAGGATGTAAATCTTCATGTGGGTCAATGCCTTGCACAATCTCACAAGTGGGACCCGCCATGGGGTGTGGTAGGAAGTGCGAGGGTAGATACCAAAGATGGGTACCGGGCGAGAAGCTTGCAAATGTGTCAGCCTAGTAGTAAAGAAGTGAGGAAATGGGGCCTATCACAGTGGAAGTAGGCAAAGTATGGTACAAGTTTGAACAGCAGTATTGGAGGGACCACATGAAGCAATAAAGGCAGTAACTACTGTGACAGTCCTTTAGAGATTGAATGCTGGTGTCAAGATATAAGCATTGGACAGCATGAATGAAGGGCACTAGAGCCGAGGCATGACCCTGTATGATGTAAAGCATTGAGGGAGAAGCTGACAGAGCACCCGTGGTCTTCTTTAGATTGTGATACACAAGTGCCCCCTTGCCACACCAAGGAACACCCCATGAAGGGGATCCAGCCAAGATGGGTTTTGTCAAGTAAGTAATTATCAAAAGAAGGCACCAAACCGGGAAGGCTATGTAGCACCATCAAACTGCGAAATAATCGGAGGGCGCTAAATATCACCAAGAATGCTAATACCAGAACAGAAACACATAAGGCGAACGATATCAAAAGTATCAGATTCGCCAAGAATTCTATCGAGGGACGAGCGACTGCGAGAGATGGTCGGAAAGCAAGAGACACCCTCGTCTTAGACATCAGGACATGCACAACTGTAAGAGGGACAACGCAATTTGGACAATATGGAGCAGGGCGGCGCTCCATTGAGTGAGTATGGCCAATCCGCAACCTTGCTAGAGCAGTTTCCCACCGTTGGTTACGGTGGCAGGAGGAAGGCCACGGGGGACACTACGTTTGAGTGCGCGCAGCTTGTTACCAACTACAGAAAACCAACAACCCTGCTAACTGGCAAGGATGGAGGAATGAATAACAGGATAAAAGTCGGAATAAGGAATACCTTTACGGGAGATGGGACAAGAACGGATAATTTCCCTAGCGGCAGCATCCGCACGCTCATTTAAAGACACCAATATGGCTGGGAACCCAGTAAAACTACCGATTTAAATTTACTAGAGATAAACAGTCAATGTTGCAATGTTGAATCTCGGTAACCACCGGATGGACAGGATTAAAGGACCAAAGAGCCATGAGGGCACTACGAGAGTCAACTACAACCACAAAGAAGGATCGACAATGAGAAAGCAAGAGACAGAGCATATGGGTGTTGAGGAAATCTGATTAACAAACTTATTGAGGGTCCATATTTTGGAGTGGAAGAGCAAAATTTCCAGTCCTAATCATTGAGACATTGTATGTGGGTAGTGCTCAGCATAATGAAACAACAGTTCTGACAGCTGGGTGAACATTTGTTTTAGTAAGTGTGTGGCACTAAGACTTCTGCATACAGAAGTGTTTCTCCAATTCCTATTTTGTTGTGAAAGTCATCAGATTTCCAACAAACTTGATTAAAAAAAAAATAACACATTGTAGAGTTGTCTTTCAGTGCTATAACATTCATGTTAATATTAATGATCTTAATTATTAAAAGACAGACAGGCTTAAAATTTTTATTAAACAAATTGTGAAACTTTAATGAGTTGTATAAAAATACATTCCACACAAGTTTATTTCATAATTATAGTTTATGGACTAATATTTCATAAAGCACTAACTAGTGCCAACACCAGAGTTAAAATTCCTTGCATTTTATAAACTGAAAACTCACACCCCAGAAGCGACTCGAACCCATACTGCCAGGAGCACTATGCAACTGGTGTACAGGGCACCTTACCCACTCGACCATCACGACCAGACAAAAGCTGATGGGAGCAGAGGTTATTTCCGCCATCAGCCCGCCGGCACTCTGATGGTAATCTTGAGCATAGTATTTTATCAAATCACCTCATTCCTTGGGGCACACGTGAGGAACACAAATGCGAACAAGCTTGAAGGGTCCCCAGGCATACATGCAACTGAATGCCTGGGGACCATTCAGGCTTGTTCGCATTTGTGTTCCTCACGTGTGCCCCAAGGAATAAGGTGATTTGATAAAATACTATGCTCAAGATTACCATCAGAGTGCCGGCGGGCTGATGGGGGAAATAGCCTCTGCTCCCATCAGCTTTTGTCTGGTCTTGATGGTCGAGTGGGTAAGGTGCCCTGTACACTAGTTGCATAGTGCTCCTGGCAGTATGGGTTCGAGTCGCTTCTGGGGTGAGAGTTTTCAGTTATTTATATATATACTGTATATATATATATATATATATATATATATATATATATATATATATATATATATATATATATATATATATATATATATATATATATATATATATATATATATATATATAATATATATATATAAAATTTCAGTATTTGAAGAGCAGAAAATCAAAACAATACAGTATTATATATAAATAAAATATAGTACAGTACCTGTACTTTAAAACTAATAGAAAATGAATATTCAACATTTCATGTAATCACAAAACATTGGCTAGAAGATAAAATTAGCCACATGTACTGCTGTTGCTAATTATTTACCATGTACATACATTACTATGAATAGTAACAAGATGGATAAAGGACTTGTTTTCAGTGCCCAAGAAATATCATGTAAGTTCTGCATAATTAAATACTACAAAATATACATTACAATCAAATAAATAAAGTTAAGTATGCAGGCGATGAGTCACAATAATGTGGCTAAAGTAAGTTGACCAGACCACACACTAGAAGGTGAAGGGACGACGACGTTTCGGTCCATCCTAGACCATCGACTTGAGAATGGTCCAGGACAGACCGAAACGTTGTCATCCCTTCACCTTCTAGTGTGTGGTCTGGTCAATAAAGTTAAGTAGTTTTAAATTTGTGTACAATCTAAATATTTAGTTCAACAGTTAATAAATTTGAATCTGGTAAACACATTGTCCATGTTTGTGTTGTACCATACTTAAGGCCAAACTCTAACAATCGTAGTTATTCAATAGAGCAACTCAAGCTTGTCCCATCACATTACATGAATAATCAAACATTCGTTTAAATGCTCCACAAACTTTTAATTATAAAACAATAATTACAAGATTGTTTTTGAATAGCCTTTTATTGTATAACAAAGTAAAATAATTGCCCATTAAACAGTTTGCACACAACACATTTCCCAGCACCTTATTAAAAAATTACTAAAATATGCACAATTTCTTTAAAAGAAACCTCTTATCTTTGTGCAAAATAGATAGCAGCTGTGTAAGCACAAATTGAGAATCACCAGCTAAATCATTACATTCATACAGTACTCTCATTTCTGTTTATAAAGCACAAACTGGGTACCTTTAATAAAAAAAAATTTTTTTTTAAACTTATTACAATGCCAAAATATACAAGCACAAATATAAGTTTTGAAGGACTTTTTACAATATAATTGTCAAAAGTTATTATAATTATCAGCGTTACCTGGAATGATGGACCTTGGCCATTTTAAAAAATGCCTAATCTATTAAATTGTATTAAGCACAACAAAAATCACAAGAAATGCTGCAGAAATATCACAGACATACGATAATTCCTGGAAGCTTACAATTCTTGTCATGAAACAAAGAAAATGCTTAGTTTCCCTTCTGCTTTAAGACAAAGAATTAATATGTCTTGAGCCAAGTCTTCACTATTTCTTTCCCTCAAGCTTTGTGGAAAGGAACCTCAAGTAACAGCCAAATCTACAATGGCAGGCTGATCAACTACAGTACTAATAAAGAACAATTTACAATACTCCAGATTTGTAGTAATGGTATAAGCGATTTAATATTACCCTCAATATATTTGTTTTAAAATCTTAACAATTAAATAAAACTAAAAAATTTTGTGTTCTGAAGCTTGCCAACTATAAATCAGTAATGTGACTTGACTACCTACAATGTGGTTCACTACAGTAATAAATCTATTATAGTAAAACCTACATTATCCAGATTCTAGGATTACCTGAACAAATTTCCATTCTCCATCATAAATTAGCCCAGTTAAATTGGGGCCAATACCCATTATGAGACCTCTCTGGGGCAGATTGGCTGATGTGGACATTTATGCTATAAGCAATAAACAAAACAAAAATTTTGTTAGTTTCCTACATATTTAATTAGTGTATTCCAAATAAAACATGTATTTTTTGCACGTCAAAGTAAACATTACCAAATTAACAACTGCCCTAAAAAATTTAATCTCGCAATCAATTACTTGGATCTCCAAATATCCGGTGGTACCAATTGGTCCAGATAAATGGTGGTATTGTATTGATATGCCACAACAGTATTTATTCTCGTTTCTATCAATTTACATTCTCCCATCACTACTTTTCTGTATAATGCTTAAAGTATTTGTTTGCATTTTTACTACAGGTTTTCAGTCTTTATACTATATAATCATTAATTCAAACAAAAGAAGATATTCAACCATCTTTTGAACTTTGATTTTAGATAATTTTATCTATAAAGAAGTACGGTTATCTCATGATGTGCAGTACTCAAATTTGACATTCGAAGCATGTTTTGCCTACAATAAAAGCAGTGATGCACAAGATTACCTCAATGAATTTTGATTAGTGCATTGAAATTTAAGACTCAATATCCAACAAAGCCTGAATTCACACATTTCCTAATATTTAATTTTCACTCCGAGTAAAATATGCTATGTGATAATACTCAGGATTTTGTCATGGTAAAAATAAACCATGATTTAAGTGAACTAGTCAGAAAGAAGAAGTGCCATATAAAACACAAACTGGTAGTCATGTTTGTAGGGCATTAGAGTCCAAACACTGGTGTATCAATAAATGAGAGTAAATTTATAAAAATAATCTAACCTATGGAATGATAGAATATCAATCAGGGTATTTGTGTATGTGTGTCTGACTTAAGCTTGAATAGCTAATTGACTTGCCATCAATCACAAGGACAGTATGTCAATTTCAGAAAAAATGAAAAATGCTGTAACCCGAGTACTGCAGTTGTTTGGTACAACAATAGTAAATTTGCACAACATTTGTCCACCTTTTCAGGTATTTTAAGGAAAACGCTTTGAAGGCCTTGTTAACATGAATACTGTATTTGCTAAGGGAATTTGTTGAAACAATCATTAATTCTAACTAATTTTGTGCCTTAGAACAAGTGTGGCAAATACTTTACAGGTACTGTAACAGTAAAAAAAAAAAAAAAAAGTATTTGGAAGCTCTGCAATTATAGAGTGCTCCTTCAAAGTTGTTATAACTTGAAAACAGTTAAAATGTTAGAGAATTCTACACAAACTGGAACCCTCAGGAAACAGGAGTTCTCAGAGCCAATCGGCAAAAGATATTTAAAAATAACGTTAACAAGAAATCTACATACAGTATTATACTTCAGGAGATAATTATGGGCAGGTTTCATAAAATGAATCCTAGCAAGCATTTGTAGACTAAGAGTAAACAGCCAATAGTCTTTCAGAGACCCTGCAAATCAAAAGTACAGCATTAGATAGATTGGCATCGTGAGAAAATGACAGACAAATGACAAAAGTTATTGATTACTAAAAATATGTTGGTTGCTAATTGCATTTATCCACTTTAGCCAGTGCAGTGAAGAGCAAATAATAAGTAAAATCGTCAGATCTGCTGAATCACCTGAATGTTATTTTCCTTTAAAGCACATTTTATCTATGCTTTGTGTACTTAAGCATTTCTTGAATCTTATTTACTTGATTTTTTAAGCAATTTACTAGCTATTTAAATGCTCTTAATTTAAATAACACATCATAAATAATAGCACATAGTTTAATCATGCATGGCAGTCCATTAAATTGAAAATGCCATATTAACCTCTCATTAACCACTGCACTGCGCACCTAGTTTCAGCAAAAACTTCATAGTGCATTTGTCAAGGCCATTTTTTTTTTAAATGTTCAGATAAAATTATTGTCAAAATGTTTACATATATTAAAATATAGCCTAATAAAAAAAAAAAAGCACAACTATCAAGAGCGCCTTAGGGTATTCTGCAGTATAGTGGTTAATGCAAATATACATTGCAATATATTAATCACCAGAAAATCTAAAATATTAAAAGGGATTCACTGCATATTAACATAAAACTAATACATGATTCAGTTATATATATACACACACATTTAGTCAAAATATATTTTTCCTATATTTCTTTACAATTCAACTTAATTTGCCTTCTTCAAATTTCTTGAAGACCTTTGATGCAGTGAAGATGAAGGAATCGATGATGCCAGCAACAGTGAAGGTGCCGCCCACAATAGCACACACCTGCCATAAGGACACAGTACAAGGTTTAAATAAGAATATGAAAATTATATAATTAAATATTATTGTTTTTAAAACCAAAGCTTAAAAAAAAAAAAAAAAAAAAAAAAAAAAAAAAAACTATTACAATGTTTTAAGTGGACAGCTGCTTCACTGAACAAAATGTCACAGCAAAATCATAGGTTTTGATGATAATACCTATGCTCATCGGTACCTGCAGCCCTTCCCACACCTCTTAATTTAGCCAATCTAAACTAAATTGCATTATACTGTCCATTGTCAGAGTGATTAGTTTTACAAAATATGAATAAAGACCAGCCTGTAGTATTTTCATATGAATTATGCCTCTGTCAGTTCTGGCACACACTGAAGTTGATTCCATGTTAAGCAAGCAGAGGTAATATAAGCTGCTTATTATAAAAAAGTGTCAAATATTTAGTTGCATATTCTACCTTTACTCTTGCAAAGCAAGTCCAGTTAAACTGCATAATTATATTTAATCATTACTAAAATTTAGAGTTTGCACTAGAAACTTATTACCAATGATAGTAACTTTAATTACTGTATGATACAGCATTCATTAAAAATGCAATATTGTATGTCTATCAAACAATATCAGAAGAGGCTTTATTAACAACCAAGCATCACTGGGCAAATAACGAAGCGCGCACACTTACAGTGGTAACAAAGGAATATATGGGTGGTCTTTTCTTATGATATTTGACTGTAATAGGCGTCAAATCATATCTGAACCACACTGCTGGCACCACCCGCCCTCCATGGCTGAATGACACGTAACTCTACAATATAAACAAATTAACCATCATTAATACAGAATAAAATATACAAGGCATATTGTGCACTAAATTTGAGGAGGGTGATCTATTGCACCAGTTGTCTGTGTGAATACTCTACACTACACACACACCTAGCTAGTAGCACGATACCTTAATACTAATTAACTTATCTGAAAAATACCCCAGCATGGGGTAAGGGAAGAGAGGAGGAGACAGAGCCACACAGGAAAGATGTTGACCCGAGCACAGTAGTCCAGAGAAGAGCGAAAGAGTCTCCAGTCCCCGAGCTCCCCAAGTTGTCGTTGTTGCCGGGAAGAAAACCTAGCTGATCGTGCAGCTCCAAACAATACAGGTCTTCACCAGCCTTTGTTACTAGTTACTTTAATCATTTCTAAACATAGCTGATAACTAGTTCAATATTTAATAATCAACAAGACCAGAGTCTTAATGCTCTGCGAGAAACAAGATTCGTCTTACGTCTGGCAAGGAAGATAGGAACAAACACTCATCAGCAGTCCTATCAATTAATGTAAAGTAATTATTTAGAGCTCAATTTGACCTCTGGTTTCCAACTAAGGAACCCAGGGTTGTAACAGTTTTTCTTATTAAAAATGGTACCAGAAGCTCTCTCTCAGACTGTTCCCCATTACTGGGTTACATCAGTCACAGGAGTTCTGTTTGGCCTACCAGGTAAAAGAACTAGAACCCAGCCCTCCTTCACAGACACAGGTAGTGAGTGATATTCTGCTATTGCCCCAGGAAAGCATCCAGAATGTCAGCAACACTTTTCAGACAACTGCTGGGTTCACAGAAAATGAAGTATTGAAACTGCCAGACAACTCTGCAAATGATTAACATCAAACAATTGATTCATTGAAAACTGGCTCAAACTGGTTATTACTGTACTGATAGACACCACCAGGTGACACGGCCACAGCTGGCTCCCTTGGATAAGTTATTGAGCCGATGAACCAATGAATCAACAAACCTGGAAGGAAGCCACCGGGGCTCCAAAAGAAATAGGTACAGTAATTCATTAAATTCAGAGCTGGGTTTCAGGGAGAGTCCCTTGATGGCTCCCTGAAGTAAAATAACCATGAAGAAAGAAAACAAAACTTATAGAGGAGGATGAGAGGCAGTACAGTAGGTACCAAGACGAAGAGACCTCAGGCCTGGAAAACCTGACCCAGAGCAACACAAAAGCAACTTGAACCAGGGATGTTAACCAAATACCAGGCTGCCAAATTTCCCCAAGTTCAAATATCAACCCAGAACGTGTTGGAGAAGTTCCCTTGGAACAAGGGGACCAAGGAAATAGGAACAATAGAACCAAGGAAATAACCAACAATGCATCAACCAAGCCAGAACCAGTGTGGCCCACAGTTAGTAGCTGAGTGCTGCCATCATATAACAAATGATCCCTCCCCACCAGATGGACAAGCTATGCATAAATTACTAAAGGATCCCTCCAAAAGTGAGTTGACTCATTCTTCACCAGAAAAGAAGGCTGCAGATTAACAAAAATGCCAACCAAGAGAAGAAAAAAAAAAAAAGTGAGAGCCAACAAAAATACTGCCTTGAGAAAGACACCTCTGGTCAAAGGGGAAACAGTGAATCTCGGACAGGAGTGAAATACCAAAACCAAGTCAAGAGACTTGGACAGCTCATGAAAAGCATGAACAGGCCAGAGGTGAAAACTCACAAGACAACTTGCGTAACGGTACTGACGATGAATCAACACTGAACAAGCAACAGTAGCTACCTTGAGGTTACCTTGAGGTGCTTCCGGGGCTTAGCGTCCCCGCGGCCCGGTCGTCAACCAGGCCTCCTGGTTGCCGGACTGATCAACCAGGCTGTTGGACGCGGCTGCTCGCAGCCTGACGTACGAGTCACAGCCTGGTTGATCAGGTATCCTTTGGAGGTGCTTATCCAGTTCTCTCTTGAACACTGTGAGGGGTCGGCCAGTTATGCCCCTTATGTGTAGTGGAAGCGTGTTGAACAGTCTCGGACCTCTGATGTTGATAGAGTTCTCTCTCAGAGTACTAGTTGCACCTCTGTTTTTCAACGGGGGTATTCTGCACATCCTGCCATGTCTTCTGGTCTCATGTGATGTTATTTCTGTGTGCAGGTTTGGGACCAGCCCCTCTAATATTTTCCACGTGTAAATTATTATGTACCTCTCCTGCCTGCGCTCAAGGGAGTACAGTTTTAGGCTCTTTAGTCGGTCCCAATAGTTTAGATGTTTTATAGCCCTGCCAAATGCTGAATAAAAAGAGGTGACACTATGCTGGTCAAAAAACAACTACAGCAGAGTCCAAGTTCAAGTGCAGTGAAAAGCTCTACACCCTAGGTGTTCATGTAAGGAAAGAATCCCTTTTGGAAGAATGTGTTAGTACTCACCTAGTTGTGGTTGCAGAGGTTGAGCTTTGGCTCTTTGGTCCCACCTCTCAACTGTCAATCAACTGATGTACAGATTCCCAAGCCTACTGAGCTCTGTCATATCTACATTTGAAACTGTATGGAATCAGCCTCCACCACATCACTTCCTAGTGCATTCCATTTGTTAACTACTCTGACACTGAAAACTTTCTTTCTAATGTCTCTGTGGATCATTTGGGTACTCAGCTTCCACCTATGTCCCCTTGTGCGTTTACCACCGGTGTTAAATAATCCATCCTTGTCTACCCTGTCAATTCCCCTGAGAATTTTGTATGTGGTGATCATGTCTCCCCTAGCTCTTCTGTCTTCCAGCGACGTGAGGTGCAGTTCATGTAGTCTGTCCTCATAACTCATGCCTCTTAGTTCTGGGACTAGCCACTAGGCTAGTCCCAGAACTAGTCCAGAACACTAGCCAATCGGCTAGTGGCAGATTGTTTACTCATTAACTGTGTAAGGAAAAGACATTTGGTATTCCCACCAGTGCATTGTCACTGTGTGCAACCCTTCCTCCGAATAGACAGTACGTTTTAATACTAAATGTAATAAGTACATTCCTGACTGTCTGCATAGTACATAAATACACTTAATTGTGCTGTTACATTTACCTTCCCTATATTCTCCTAATTTTCTGTTAATTCACTCAAAATTTTTAGGTTGAAGTTTTCGTGTTCAATTCTATATACACGAGTTTTAAATATAAAGAATACCTTTTTCAGTTTTATTAAACAATAGAGATTTTATACAAAATTTGAAAATATCCTGAGTTACTTTATAATTTATTGAAAGACTTTAGTTTTGTTTTATTAGTTTTATAAAATTGTAATATCAATATAACTATAGGTTAAGTACTAATTGTAATTAAGAAGCAATAAATGCTATTTACATGCTTGTCCTCCTACACTCCCAAGGTTAGGTTAGGTCATGGTTTTCTATACAGCTTTTCAGGTAAACTAATATTCACAATATTCTGGTGTGATGCTGGCGATTAAGTGTATTTATGTACTATGCCGATAGTCAGGATTGTACTTATTACATTTACTATTAAAACGTACTGTCTATTCGGAGGATGGGCTGCAGTGTGAGGATGCCCTCCCTCCAAAGAATATAAACCGATTCAATACAGGAAAATAAATAGTCTCAAGTATATTCAGTGATTGAAACTGTGTACAGTGTTAAATGTAGGAAACTGGCTTGGAACTCAATAAGACAGAAATAAATAAATTAGGTATACAGTTGTGAAAAGAAATATTATTGGAATGCAGATGGGTGGACAGAGAAGCGCGCCGGTGATTTGTTCACTTGGTGGGTGACAAGCAACTTGGGAGGACGACCAACGTTCTGTGGAACACACTGGTCTTCAATATTTATGATAAGTGCAAGGGCATTGTAGCAATAGTGGTGCTCTTTATTTATAATTAGGTGTAGGATACATACATATATTTAAGTTGCGCACATATCCCCAGTGGTTGGCTGGTTTTAAGTGTTTTGATTCCTGTTGTAATAAACACGTTAGGAGTGAATATTAGCTAGTGAATCAAGCACTACAACACTTAACATGTACTTTCAACCATCATTTGTTAAGTGTTGTTGCCTAACTTATGATTCCCTACATACTGCAAAAAGGTCCCCTAGGGGGCCATGGCCTCCAGTTTGAGAACCAGTGCTCTAAACCAATGAAGAGTCTACAGGTTACAAAGTCACATCAAGTTCTCATTAACTTCAGCTAAAATACTGCCACCTAAGGATTTCTAAGCTTATAATCAATTAACAACAATATGGTATGACATATGTTAAATTTGTAGTAGTTTGCTTACAATTTTCTCTAGATATTCAAATGTGGTAAAGACATTAAACAGGTTCTTACTACTACATTACTAAAAATATTTGTGTTACTCACCCTGTAGGCATAGGTATACTGGTATGCTATAAGCTGATTTCCACTGGATTCTTCATAAATGGTTGGCACAACTTTCATTACGTAGTCATGAGATTCCAAGGCTGAAAAAATAGAGGGTAAAAAATTAGACAAATGTTGACATCAAACACAACAGCACCAACAACTGTGAACTCTGTCAAAACTCCAACAAAACAAAGATTTTCATGATGCCTGAAGTCTTTAGTTTTGCTTAAACCAGTTATAAAGGATGTAACAAAAATCCATTTTCAAAGAAATCTGCAAAATGTTACATACAGATGTAACCAATCTTAGAATATGGATCGATGTGTGCATGAATGTAGAAGGAACACATTTTGAATATTCTATGTAAAATATCTTTACTTTTCGTTATGAGAATGGATTTGTAATAAAATGAGACACTGGTCCATCCATCATTGGTGGATGGGTAAATAAGACTGCTAGACACCAGCAGAACCAGTTCCATCACAATCCAGTCTGGGATAACATCTGCTAACACCAGCCTCAAAGATGGACTGCCTCCAGCCTGACTAGATGGCCCATAGTGTCATGATGCCAGGTCAATGACAAACTCCACCTTCAACTAGCACCTGACCCTGTAGTCTGCCCATATGCATTCTGCTTCCAGCTTGGCCAGACAGCCCAATATCTGTACCACAGATGCAGATGAAGCTGCAACGATGGTATAACATCACGAGTAAATAAACATCAATAGTCCAGCAGTTACCCATGGCAGTACCCTTAACTTCATAAAACCAGGTGTACAAACACCTACAGTGATAGCAGACCATGCAACTCATTACATCAACACATGTTATAACTTTCTATGTGAGGAGTACAACATTTTAGCAGTCAGGCCCTTGCCACATGCTAAACCTTAAACATATTGGGCTTTTAAAGGCTCTAAATGTTGCAGTGAATAGATGGAGGAGAGAGAAAACCAGCACCAAATGAAATGAAATACCAATTCCAGAGGAGCCCCAGTGCCTCCCTGAAGCTATCTTCCTGAGATTTCTTCAGACTAAAAGGCCACATCAATTGTCAATACAGTGCTTCCTCACTAACGAAACCTACTCTATCGATTCCCGGATGATCCGAACAAATTGAATTCGGTACGAAATGTTCAGTGGAACATACAAATGTTCGATTAAGTGAGGATTGTTCGTCCAAGCGATCACCGAGACAGAGCTGTCATAGTTGATGACAGCCACTGTCATCAACTATGATTCACCAAAGTGTAAACAGTTGTACAGAATTATATTTTGCTTACCCATTGTTCCCAGTGAGAAATGGTTGAAGGATGATAAACTGGTGTTACGGGAGGCAGGTGGTGTCAGATGTCAGGGGAGGCAGGTGGTGTCAGGGCATGAGAGAAAATAACGAAGCCTGGCATATGTATTTTTTTTTTTTTTTTTTTTTTTTTTAAGAAAATTGGTGGGGCGGGACAGATGGAACGAATTCTGCACTGGAATGAATCGCCTTTGCCCCATGTACTGTAACCACTCGATTATCCGGGATACGAACATCCGGAAAACGCCCTTAAACGGCCAAAATCGTGACAAGATAAAGTTCTCAATATCTGGCCAAAATGGACATGGGAGCCGGATAAAAGCTGGTTTAGCTGGATAAAAAATCAGAGCCAGTTAACTTGCTGCCGATGTTACACTATCCGGACAGTCAGCCGGATAATCATTGAATTGTCTGGATATGAAAGCCATGGGGCGAGCCGTACTGTATTAATCCCGTCTGGCTGTGGCTGGCTGGCTCGACACACATGGTGGAGGAGGGGGTGGGGTGGGTGGGTGGTGTCGGGAGGGTGGGAGGGGAGCATCAGGAGGGACCACCTGGGTACAAGAATTATCATAAATTTTAGAACAATTCATCATAGCCAAAAACAAATGAAATACTAGTAATTATGTAATAACAAATATATAAATTTCCTAAAAACAATGTGCACAGGCTGAAGTTTCCTTAAAAAATAGTGTTTTTTCCTCCTACATAGGTCGCCAGGAGATAAACTATAACTGCCCTATGTGGAACCGTCCAACACTGGTCAATCCATGTGCTCCCATCCCTCGTGTTATACCACAGTGCCGCGCCATTAGTGAAATATTTTTTTAAATAACTTTTTTATTTTCATAGTAAATATGAACATTTTTGGCCAAGACTGTCTGGTAGCAGCACGAATCGTTCTGGAGGTGTTAAGAGGAAGAAGGTTGTCCTAACAATTAAAGACAAGTTACTGTTATACCTCAACCAGTGAGGCTTCACAGGCAAGCCAAGCACCTTCAAGTGAGGCGTCACAGGCAAGCCAAATGCCTTCAACCAGTGAGGCTTCAGCAGCTGGCAGTCAAAATTAACTTTGCTTAATGAACTGTACAGTAATTTTAAGTGTTAATTTTAGTGTTGTGTTAGTATAGGTTACGTAAATTGTTAAGAATTCTTAACTTCAAGATGTGTGGCATCAATCAAGAAGATGAACACCAAGGTAAGTTGAGGTTTCTAGTTGAATATTTAATAATTATATGTGGCAAGGCAATTCAAATTATGTTTGTAGTATAAAAATAGTTGGAAATGGTCACTTTTGGACTCGGAGGTGAAAAAGTACCATTATCCGGAACACGTGAATATCCGGCTGGGGGTCCTTCCCAAGTAGTCCAGATAATCGAGTGGAGACAGTTTGTTCAAGTGAGGACACACTGTAATTCTGTTTTGGCCTACCAGGGACCAGAGCCAGAACTTGGGGCCCCCCCTCATAAGAGGTGCAGGGAACAGGTAAAAATTTGCCACCTCACTAAAATACAGCCTCCAGAAAGTCAGCACTAGCTTTTATAAAAAATCTGGAGGGTTCACAGAAAATGAAGCCTTGAAAATCTCCAAACAACTACTGTAAACGAGTCACATAGAGCAAGGAATTTACTCATATGAGCTCAACTTGTTAGAGGTCATCTATTAGGTGGCCCAGCCCAGGCTCCCAGCCAGCTCCTCAAGGCCATTCTGGACCTGATGAACAAACCCATGACAAACCTGGAGGACAGGAGCCACCAGGGCTCCTCCAAAAATTGGCATGTCAAATACGTCAACATCTGAGGTTACCTTATCATAGTAATCTCCACTTCATTCAAACCAACACCATCAACATCCATCACCACCTCTTCCATGTAAATAACTATGCTCCACCAACAATGATAATCAAGATAGCAAGTGGATCAGGACTTCTTGTATTGGTGAGTACAATCAAAATACAGTACAGGTGCTGTCGAATTTATGCTTGAACTTGTCTATTTTTCCCCCAGATTTAACCATTAAACTGCTCAGCATAAGGGGGCATAATTTGAAAAATATTCAAATTACCTGTATGTAAAAATAATTTAAAAATGTTAAACTAATCTTGAACTTATTGGCTTCAGCATTTTGAAACTTTCATCAAAATATTTTCAGAAATTGATTTTAGATGAATATTTAGAAAAAACACTTTTTGTTGATAAGGAGAACGGCTCCTATTAACTGGAACTGATGGATAGTGCAATAATAATGAGATGCAAGCACCTGTCCGAGGCACAAAAGAATAGTATTTGTAGTAAGAAGTGTCCACAAAGCGGATATGCAGCTGGTGCCTTTATAGCATTGGTGAGTAATACATAACAAAAATAATAACGAGTATGTTATTATGCTCTATTTTGTTACATATCATAAATACATTGCCCAATGTTATCATCAGTTACTTTCAATAATGTCCCCCAAAAAAAGTTTTTTTAGGGGATTTTTTTTTTCCTCCTTTGTTTATTATTTGAATTTGTTGTAATCTTGACATCCTGGAGATTGCATACTTGTCCCTAACTATGTCAAGACAGATATAAATTGGTCAACAAATAAATCAGTAACAACTCTCAAAACTTGGTACTTTGAATTTTTTTTGCCAGATTTTTTCAGATTTCAAACTATTTTCTGTTTCTTTAGGTTGTTTTGATGATTAAGGACCAGATTAGGGTCTTTTTACTTATATAAAGTATACCCTAAATCATTATAATTATTATAATTATTCCTATTTTTTTTTTTTGGGGGGGGGGGGGGGGGGTATTTTTCTTTACTTCATTTCAACACATTGACCTACAACTTTTACATATTCAAGTACGAATGTCAAACAATGTTTATTAAAACATACGAGTAAATTTATGAATTAGAACGGCCTTATTCATTGTCGATAACTTCAACTTCAATTACATCTATAACTTTAATTTCAACTTGCTTCAGTATCCAAAAATCTAGTTTCTGACCGATTCTCACCCTTTTTACATATAGTGTGCACAGCTGTCTGTTCTGAAATCCTATAGAATCACTGAAGCTGGACCAGGGTTTCACATAGGTTTGAACCTCATTTTCTCATAGGTTCGAATCCTCATCACGGTTCCTGTGGATTTTCTCGTTGATATATAGAATCACGATACTGTGATTTCTCTGTGTATTGAAAGAGGGGCATCAGAGGTAGGATTACTGGACGAGTACAGTAATTAAACCAAATTAAACAGTACAGACCTAAATAAATAGTACAGTAATTAAACAAATAAACCTAAGTACAGGCTTTCTGTCTGACACCAGGGAAACCCACATGTAATAAAAATGGCTGCTTTTTCTTTAAACATGAATTTCAAGCAAGTACAGTACTGTATTTTGAACTGCAATAATAATATTCATTTCCCCATACAGTACCATTCTTTATTAACACATTCTGTCCTTCCTTCCCCCATTTGCTTTTACTGTTCTTGTAATATTTACTCCATTCCACTCTTCATTACAGTATCATTCCCTTTATCTTTCTTTTACATAAACACAACACATTGTACTTTCCTTCCTTCCTTAAAACTTTTGGTATTTCCAGCTTCATCTGTTCTTGATTTATTCATCTCATATTACATAGTCATAAGTACCTGTCTTTTGTTTTCTATAACCCGAGCAGGTGCAGTCCTATATACAAGACTTTTTTTTTTATCTTACAAGGAATTTTTTTGCGGGAAACATAGGTTGCAAATGCAAATCTCAAACCCTTACAAGGCAGAGACATGGGTTGACTGCACAACACTGTGGTGGATGGGAGGGACACCACATCCGTATGACAATTTAGAAAAAGTAAATGTAACACTCACCATTTCCATCAATCTTTGCACGTCCATACAAGGGATTGAAGGTTCCAGGAATATTTGGGTCGTCAATCTTGCTCCCAAAGCGCACTTCATGAATCACATGTGCAAAGTCTGTGTTCTCCGGCTGTGTATCTGCTGAATGTGTTGACACATGGAAGTTTCCTGCAAGTTAAATGTAAGTACATATAGTGGCACTTCACAAATCTAGACCTCCCTATAACGGATCCATCCAAACAATGGTACTGTACTGTATATATTCAGCTGCTGGATATACCCCCTTGCAAATAAAAAAAAAATCAGAAAAATAGTAGTTTCCATAGGGGTTTCCTGTAAAATCCAAATCATTGGGCAAAGTAATTTCCTGTAAATTATATTTTTTACTAAATATTTTATATTTTAGTATGTTTTTGTCATCAGAGTTAAGGTCAGTGAAAGTGCCAGAAATATTATTCTGAATTTGATTATGAAACCATACAACTTAAAAAAAATTATTAGAATGAGTTCAAGATATTTAATAAAATCTTAAGTTTAAGGGAGTTCTTGGCATGGGAAGTTGATGGATCTGAAGGAACAAATTCACAAGGGCCGTGATGAGGGTTTGAACCTACGTCCGGGATGATCCCAGATGCTCCTTGATTGACTGTGCCACGACATGGTTGTGTTTATCGCCCTTACAGAGTAAGGGCGAAGAGGTAGAACATTTGGTTGACAAGAGCTCGGGTGCACGGGGGAAATATGTGAAACCAGCTTTGTGCTTCAGAGAAGCTGCGGGAGCCGTCGTGAGGGCAAATAGTTTGAACCCTCATCACGGCCCATGTGGATTTGTTCTTTTGATGTATCTATTGTGATTTCTGAGTGTATTGATGGATCTGGTTCATCGGTGTCATGGTCCTTCCACTGAAGTAGAAGGTGAAGTAGAAGCCCCAACGACCCAAGGACTGAAGAGAACCCCCGCTGCTCAGACAATAAACCACCGGAGAGCAGTCCAAATGGAGCTGGATCGTGGAACCCCAAGCGACCTGAATCCTTCAAAATGACAGCCAAACCACCGCAAACTCCTGCACCGTGCTGTGATCCCGACAGAAGAACAAAGTCCACCGCCCCTGGCTGGCCTGGTGAGCACTGATCACAAAACCCCAGCTGAGAGACAAGGCACCTGTGAACACGTAAAGCGAGGACTCGGGTAGTTGCCAAAGCACTGAACCCTGAAAAACCCGAAGAGGAAGATGGTGACGCAGCAACCGACACAGGGCCCATGGAGGCCAAATCCAGCAATCGTGAGAGAGACAAAGTTCGGCCCCAAAGGAACCATAACAGATGCCGAAGCCAGACCCAACCCGGCAAAGTTCAGACTTCTGCACAACTGCTTGAGCAACCGCTGAGTGACCCGGGACCCTTCCACCAGAAACAGCTGAAGGCGGGACCGCAGCAACGCCTTCAGAGGGAGAGACATGGAAGCGGTCCGTGAGTCCCACACAAGGCCCAGCCAGGTCTGAAAGTCCCAAACAATCTATACCTATAATAGGTTAAGTAATAATTGTAATTACGAAGCAATAAGATGCTTATCTTAACATACTAAGAAAGTTAGGCAAGGTCGGTGTTTTCTATGAAGCTTTTCAAGGTAAACTAGTATGTTAAGTATGTCACATATGCATGTATTTAATAAGTCAATATTGACTATACGAAAGTGCGAGAACGGGTTGGATGTTCGTATATTCATAGCCAAAAACCACGAACCAGGCCTGGCTGAAAGAGACGCCAGACCGTAGAAACTCGCCTGCAGAACGTAGGCACGAACGTGTCAACACAACGTAGCCAAGATGATGTGGGGAGCACCCCCAGTGGAAGAAAGCAAAGTCGCACAAGCAGGAGAAGAGTAGGGAAGAGGTGAAGGAGGAGCCCTACACCCATACGCAGGGAAAACCTAGCATTCTTCCCATAGCGGCAATCCAGAACACCCCAAGTAGCTACAGGGCACAGACTGGAGAATTGAGAGGAGCGAGAGGCGAAGCACCCGAGAGAAAAGGACGCAGAACACCAGCACACGTGCACACCGCCCACATCATAGCAAACTACCATGGCCCATACGCAGGCAGGGATGCCAGATGTGGGTTGCGAGAAGTAGCGAGCTGATGAAAGAAAATCATGAAATTGACTAGAAAACTAGACAATATAGTGTTGTTTACAATTGAATCCCTTTTCAGAGTACATAGGTCAGCTGTTAACAGGAAACAAAAAGAGCAGTAAGTAGAGAAACATACATAACATAGCCCTTCTGTGGCTACAAGTAGCCCAATCGGGCTACAAGGAGCCCAATCTGGCAACCATGTGCAGCGCAGGATAGAGCATGGAGAGAAGATACAATCATGAAAGAACTAAACAGGACCAGAAACCGAGAAGAAGAACGGAGAAGGACCAACAAGCCCTAGAAAGGATCGGAGAGGAGCCACACCGGAAGACTACAGACGTTCTAATAATACGGGAAGAAGCAAAAACCTTCCCGAACCTTCGAGCACACACAGAAGCAAGCGTAAAGCACAAAGCCACAGCAGGCTCAGTCGAACCAGAGACCAAAAATCATGCAGAAACCCCAAGAAGAGGGGAACATGACGGTGAAGGTCTGTCCCAAGAAGAAGGGTGGAACCGATGGATCAAAGGGACAAGGAACCAAACACTGGGAGGGGCCGACTCCCAACAACATGTATGTAGAGGAATGGGGGGGGGGGGAAGAAAAACCCCACTCCTCGTAACCACAAGCCCTGCCCAGAGGGTAGAAAAACCCAGGCGGTGTCCAACGGGACCTGAGGTCCTCCAAGTCAGCCCCTCACCAGCCCCGGGAATCCACAAGGCAGGTCCTGGGGCAGAGCTGTCCCCCCTAAGCTCCACACACACCAGAAAAGCCGGGGCAGCCGGACAAGTACTAAAGAAGGGAGCCCACTGGCAGACTCATACAACACGGCTGGAGGAACAGGTTCGAATACCCCCGTCGCTACCCCGGAAGGGGAAGTCCGAGACAGCCAGAGTTTCAAGACCACCGAAGCCCCGTCCCAACTCCAAACCTACAGACGGTAAAGATCCGGATGCAAAGAGGAAGGGGGTGACCATAACGGGAAAAACTATGGGGCGCGGAAGGAAACAAAACTGAAGCAACCAACATCCCCAAGCCCCGTTACACCAACGAAAACGGGGCAGCCTTGGGGCTTCCAGGGAACAAACAACCTAGCCGTTGTCACCAGCGAAATGCAACGTGTAACGCCCGTGCTGCCTGTACTCACATAAGACTGGGTAACCGAGTCACAAACAAGCAACAAAACTCGTAGGACTCCGGGCCGAAGGTGCCACCGACCTCAAAGGCAACAGATGGAGGCAAAGAGTGCGAGTCACCCTGTGCCAAGGGGACAGAGCAACTCTCGAACTCGCACAAAGTGAGGTGGGGGGGGAATCCGGGGTCACATCCACTGAACCCACGCGTTCCCGTGGGTATTCCCAGGGCCCTGAGATGGAATCATGCTCAGGGAAGCCCAGGCAGGGTATTGCTAACCGGCGGCCAAGCCTACCAAACAACCTTCTAAGAACTAAACCCCAGGGACGTGTACACTCATGGGGACCTAGCAGGGAAAACCACCAGAAGAAGGAAGAGTACTTAGTACACAGGGGGCAAGAACCAAGGCAGACCCCCCTCCCACCAGGCAGACAAACAAAAAGAAAAAGAAAACCCTGCAAGAGGACAGCGTACCCAAGCGGAACAGAGCCAGCCGCTATGATTGGTGAAAACAAGCTACGCAGTACCCTTCACCCCTACCAGCGCAAAACTGCCCTTCATCCTAAGGCGAACAAGGGAGACAGAACACCCTGGCACACAATGGGCAGCCGAAAACCAAGCAGTAAACGGCCTAGCAAAGGCAGAACCCAAGGAACTTGGGGAGGTAACCCCAAGCCCTAAGGGCAGTACTTACAGGGTATCTAGGAAAGGAAACCCTAGGTGCATGCAGCCCGAGTACTGGGGAATCACTCCCAGCTCGCGCACCACCTAGACGACAGTCACCACACTAGGTACAGTGCTGAAACAATCACCGGAGCCAGAGCACACGACCATTGCCCATAGCATCAGCTTCAGAACTGAAGGGTGGATAGCCAGGCGGGGGTCTGGGGCTCCCACTTCCCCCTCCCGGGGAGGGGGGGAGCTGCGCAGACAGCGGCGCGGCAACGTGTGACGTCATGCTTGTTTCTTTTTGGGGAGTTCTATCCACTTGTTTGGCTTTTGGTAGCAATTTTCAACAGAATAGGGATTTGTTTTGGGATGCTTACCTTTCTGGGTGCCTGACCAGGTCAATGGCAGACATAGAATGCTTTCAACCACATGGGGGTTTCTATAGGCCATTGCTCCCCATGCCTCTCTGAGGGGACCAGGTTCTGGCTCGTGGTCCCCGGTAGGCCCACAGAACTCCATACACATGACTGATGCCAAAGTCTGACACTAGCATATCAGCCTGGATAAGCTCCGGGGAGCCGAAGGGGCTCCTCCCAGAAAATACTATAAATATAGATACTAAATAAAGAATCCACAAACCTGGCACTTTATTTATGAGGAAATTTGCCTCAAAAACACAACCCTCTTCTCCAATGGGATTTTTTACAGTGTTCTCCACAAAGCCAACTTCATGTCGACCAAGATCATCCTGGATATCCAAACCAACATCTGTAAAATAAAGCACCAAATTAAACAGTACAACCTCAACAAAAATGGACCACAAAACAGAAGAGAAAAAATTTGTTCTATGAACAATTTTTCAAAGGCTGAAATATGGAGTCAAATTTTATGAAATTTTCAACATGGGAAAGGAGGGATACACAGTCTGCACCGTTAACCATTGCATTTCACAAGGTTACATAGTGCATACATTGTGTGTATGCACAAAAAAAAGTAAGAAATTCAAAACAAGGTAGTGACACCTCTGCTTACGAATGCCCCTATTTACGAACTTTTCGGGTTACAAGCCCAATTTCTTTTGAAATTTTGAATCGGGTTACGAACTATGCCTCGGGAAATGAGTTTGTTGATATACATATGGCCAACCCAGCGCATGGTGGCACAGCGATCGCGCCTCAGTTTACCAGTGCCTCTCGCCTAGTAACAATCGTGCCTGAATTCTTTGTAAAGAATTAGTTTTTTTTTGGATTTTTGGCTATTTGAACATAAAATTTGTTACTATGTATCTTGCCATGGGTCCCCAGAAAGCCAGTGTTAAGGTTCAAGCCAAGAAAACACATGAGAATAACCATATAGGAAAAACAGGAGATCATTGGTGGTGGAGTTGGTGGAGGAACACAGCAAACTAACCACCAAGAACTAGCCTTTCACAATGAGCAGCAACAAGAGGCAGCTAAGGAAATGTCTTCAGGGGAGGCGGCGGCAGTAGAGAATGTCCCTTCAACAATTAGGAAGTGGTATAGGCTGTGGGAAGAAATGCAAACGTGTTGAAATGACTCACCCAGAGCAAGCTGTAGTAGGCCGTTGCATTGACCTCTTTAATGACAATGTGATGCCTTACTACTGTACAGACAAGTGTTACAACGAAGGGAAAAAAACTCCTCTATGGATAGTTTTATAGTGAGAAAATCAAGTAGCGAGTCACAAGCAGGTCCTAGTGGTATGCCTGCAAAACGTAGGAGAGTACCCCAGAAAAGTCCTCACTGCCTGATGTTATAATGGAAGGGGACTTCCCTTCCAAACACTAACACTTCTCCTCCTCCCCCTCCTCACCGTCTTCCACTCGCCAGCAAGTCTCATTAGTAAAGGTAAGTAATAACTTGTACATACTTTAGTACTGAAGATCTGGGTGAATTAGGTATAAAATTTACTTCAAAGTAAATGTTTTGGAGAGTCTGGAATGGATTAATTCAATTTCCATTATATCTTCTTCACCACAGTCTGTGGTGTAATGGTAAGGCACTCTCCTGGTGTTCCGCGAGCGCTTTGTCATGGGTTCGTACCCTATAGTTGGTACTATTTCCAGCTCACACTTGACAAACAATGTGGACTTAGTTAATAAGCTATCCACACTGAATTTAAATTTTGATTTTAAACTAATAAGTTTCGATGTGACCTCTTTATTCACTAACGTTCCTGTTGATGATCTATTAGAATTTCTACGCGAGGAACTGCCTAAATATAATTTGAGCTTGCAGACCAATAAAGTATTGGAACTTATCAAATTTTGTATAAAAGACAATTATTTTAGTTTTAATGGAAAATTTTTCAAACAAACATTTGGTATGGCGATGGGCAATCCCCTTTCCCCAGTTTTAAGCAATTTGTATATGGAATTCTTCGAAACAAAAATCTTATCCAGGATTATCCCGGCTAATGTAGTTTGGTTTAGGTATGTTGATATTTTGTGCTTATGGCCGTGCGACAAAGACCAGATAGTTTTTCTTAATGAACTCAATTCTTTGGTACCTTCGCAGTCCAAAGGCAGTACCTTCAAACCAAAGGCAGTCAAGCATTCACAGTTGTGGTAGCAACCAGTTAGACACAGTCGCAACCAATCACAGTTAGTAAAGAATACAAGTTTAATGTCAGCCACTCAGGCAGTCTGCCTCCCAGGTCATCAGCTGGTAGGAAGGAAGCCATCCGTATTAATACTGCTCAGACATGGCTGGGAAGGATACAGCTGGGAGGGTCCAGTGTGGGGGACGGAGGTTGTGGAAGGGACCTGTGTGGGGATGGAGGTTGCAGGGAGGGACCTGTGTAATAACCCAAGTGTAGCTACAGGATAGGGAATGGAGGGTGTGGGGATGGGGGGGATGATTGTGGAGAAGGGACCTCTATGGAATGTGTGGAGGGAGATGGAAGGGCTTGGGAAGGGACAAGGTGTGATCAGCTCCTGTGTTAGTCCTAGTCGGATACTTTAGTCCTATTCGGATATTTCTGCTAACCACTCACCCACTGTAGCCACCCATCTCACACTACCCACTGCTACCTGCCCACCCACTCTGCTGCCCATCCTGCTACTCACCTGTCCACCCACTGTCTCCTGACCGCCCTGCTACTGACCTACTCTGCACTCACCCACCCATCCACTTACTCTACCCTCTGCCCTGCCACCAGCCTGCCCCTACTGCCACCTGCTTTCTATGCAGGGGCTTTCTATTGCTGCTGCATAGCAGTGGAACTGCCCCTTCCTCTCACATATGTCATCACACAAAGTCCACCTCTATGACAGCCAAGATGATACATTTGACCTGCCACACGCTCCACCACCCTGTACCACCCAGTGCCTGGTACGGCTCGCCGGCAGGCAGAGTGCCTCTGCAAACAAGCAGTTAGCCTGTTCTACCAAGCAGTTTGCCGACTACCTAGCAGTTATACAGCCTCTACCCAGATGTGGTGCAGCCACTAACTGCCAGCCACTTCTTACTGCTCACGTTGACAAGACGTGATATCACCAGCAGGGGTATAAATAGAGCCCTGCAACCCATGGAAGTCAGTCTTTCTCTGGTACTCTTGGGGTCATCACTGCTGATTTCACCTGCCGTCTGCTACCAGCCTACATAGTATCGGATGCTATGGTGGTATGGTAGATGTCTTCATCTCACCAGTATAATATTGTATTATACTGTATTTATATTTTTATTTGCTTGTTTTGTTTGTTCTGTTAGAATAGCCAAGAGTTTGCAGGAACAATTTTCTGTTACATTAATTATAGTAAAGTTTATTATTTGTTCATCTGTTTGTTTCATCCTGCCACTTACACACTGCAAGGGCCAAAGCAGCATTTTATTTTATGTGATTGAGACCCACACTACACCAGCCCAGTATTGCTGCACTACTGCATCACGTCACAATATTCTTTAGAGGGAAACTGGGCACAGTTACTAAAGTAAATATATTTAACTAAAAATTACTTACAATCACATTTAAGACGAGGTAATGAGATTTTGATATACACTGGGATTCTGTCTGTCGATTCACCGGGGTTATCTACATAGAACTCTGACACTCTGGAAAAAAAAAAGGTACAGTATGTTGATTAAACTAACCTCTGTAAATTTAAAAAAAGATATATAATAAAAAAAATACAGCAGTGTTTGCTAGAAAATGACACTGTCATACAATCCCAAAAACAAAATAAAATAAATTAAACAGGATTCAACAAAACCTTGAGAAGACAAACTGTACTCACAATTCTCCTGAGAGGAAGTGGAGGAGCTCTGAAGTAAACAGAATCAGCATGAATGTGATGCATGTTACACTAATGACAGCCCCAGTTATGGTCGGCTGGGTCAAGTCTTTGGGCACTTTGCGATATATGTCAAGTCTGGAAAAAAATAAAATCGGATACATTTTTATATATACAGTAATACTGACTGAAAGATTGTGTTACAGTATTTACTATGACATGCACTACAACAATGTGCATGTATGAATGCACACATACATGTGTGCACAATTACACACAACTTGTGTACACAACTTTAGAAACTTGTGAAAGGAATCGTTCACAACCTTGTATACCACTTGTGCCAGATCAATCCTGGAGTATGCAGCTCCATCCTGGAATCCATACTTAGTTGAACACAACACAAAGTTAGAGAAGATTCAGAGGTACGCCACCAGACAAGTCCCAGAACTGAGAGGTAAGAGCTACGAGGAAAGGCTACAGGAGCTAAACCTTATGTCCCGGGAAACAGAAGAGTAAGGGGAGACATGATAATCGCCTACAAAATTTTTAGGGGAATTGACAGGGTGGACGAAGACAAACTATTTAGCATGGGTGGAACACGAATAAGGGGACACAGGTGGAAACTTAATACCCAAATGAGCCACACACACATTAGGAAGAATTTTTTCAGTGTCAGTAGTTAACAAATGGAATGCATTAGGCAGTGATGTGGTGGAGGCAGACTCCATGCAAAGTTTCAAATGCAGATTTGACAAAGCCTAACACATTGCAATTATGTAATTACACATGCTAAATGAATCTACACATATAATAGCCACTTTAGTTGCCTGCAAGAATGTATAACTAGACTTTTAATCATGGATGATTCAACCATGGAAAGATAAACTGGAAGAATGGAAAACCAAATGGAAGTACAGCATAGATACATGGAGAGCTAAACTATTGGATGTGGCAGAAATTTTGAGCCAACATGTCAAGGGACCCACAAGAATGAAAGGCAATGATAAGCCAGTTAGTCTTGACCTGATATTCACCTTATATGAGTACTGTATAGATAAATTTGACATAAGGGAAGTCAAATTAGAAGCCCCATGGAAACGAGTGACCACAGCATACTGACATCTGAGTATCTGGTGAAGTAGGGATAACCTCTCCAAGGAAGGGACCAGAAAAGAAAAGGTTGGCCTACTGGAGGAAATTACGTACGACCAGTTACAAAAAGTACTGTCATTTCTGTATGACTAGTTCAAATTCAAATGTTTATTCAGGTAAAAAAGTACATAGAAGAGTTACAATGTTGGATTTATAGATAGAGCTAGTACAAAGAAAACCTAAAGCCACTAATACTCACAGCATTTCGGGAAAGGTGTGGAGAAAAAAACACATTAAAACTTGATACTAATTGCGATTAAAGTATAAATTGTGTTTGGGAAAAAGGGGGGGGGGAGAACATAGCAGAAATCAGCAATTATACAAGTTGGTCAACAAACAGCATTCTTTGAAAATAGCAAGACATGGGTTGACATTTAGGGGGTGAGGTAGGTTACATGGAGTTTATTAGGTGGTACAGTACTTAGTTTTTCTCTTAAACTGGTTGAGAGAGGTACAGCCTGACATGATTGGGAAGGTCATTCCACATTCTGGGTCCTTTGATTTGTAGAGCATTTCTAGCTTGGTTAAGGTGCACTCTTGGAATATCAAATAGGTATTTGTTTCTGGTGTGGTGCCCATGAGTTCTGTCACAACCTTCTAGGAAGCGTTTAAGGTCAGGATTAGCATTACTGTTCAGCGTTTTAAATATATAAGAGTACACATGAGAGGTTGTGCAGTGACTCAATATCTAACATATTCAAAGAGTCAAGTAAGGGTACCGAGTACTGTCTGGGGCCAGAGTTCGATAGTTCTAATAGCAGATTTGTGTTGAGTAATTAAAGGCAGTAGATGATTTTGGGTAGTAGAACCCCAAGCACAAATATCATAATTGAGATAAGGATATATGAGAGAGTAATAGAGCGTCACCAGGGCAGGGCGAGGTACATAATATCTGATCTTGGAAAAATCTCAAGTTGTGTAGACATCCGTCAATTCTGAGCAAATATATGTTTATTATATCACCACAACGTGCCCACTGAATATAACCAAATAAAGACACTCAAAACAGAATTCACAATTTATTTACTATACTTCCACTGACCTTCTGACATCAAAACTGAAGAACACCATCCTGACGTCTGTCTGTCACCTCACAGCTGTGTTTACGTCTGCCACGACAGCACGCTGCCGGGTCGGGCTGCGTCCCGTATCATCCAAGATGTCTTCTTTATATTAACACATTAATCACTTAAATAGTGACAATTTTATTAGCGTTAGATAAACATCATGCACCTACTATGACTTTTCCTCAAATACTATTGATTAAAATTCCAAGAATGTATTTGGTTTTGACTTTTTCAATTCATATGTTAGGCATCTATTTATATACCGTTCAGTGACCATCTTTGTCACGTCGCTTTTCCATTGGTTGAACGGATTTTGACTTACACTGAATAACCATATGCGCAAAATGCCCCAAATTATTCCACCTACATCAAAATGTTTGGATAACTACTACTCTATACACTTCTATCAACACTAAAAATAATTATTCTATAAGTATTTCATCAGCATTACCTATACACATCTACGTTATTCTGGTTTATGAACAATTTTTTCAAATGCATTTGATCTGTCAACTGCTATATTTCCGCAGAATTTAAACTGCTATCAGCATTATGAGCGGGTTTTCCGATGCTTGTTAGGAAATAAAATGATAAAAATATTCTGATAGTGTTAAATAAGCCAGAATTACACAGTTAATTGTGCATAGACGATATGCCTCCGTTATTACTGTTAAGTGCACCACTTATAATTTTGGGATGAACTATCTAACCCCGTATACTTTATTTACGTTCTACTATGTTCGGTTGCATGTGTCCCTACTTACGTAGAATATGTATACAAGTATAGTTATTAAGGTTACTTAACAGGTATCACTGCACATGCACACCATAGGTTGCAACTCGCAGTTGCTAACTTTTAGCAACTGTAGATACAACAATTCCATGCAACTTGCAGTTGCAAATGTTTTATTATTAATATGAAATTTAATAAAACGTTATATTGCCTGTTGTGTTTAGTTTCACACAACGCACAAAATTACACAGTATCATAGAGCTAAGTGAACTAGTGTATTGCACGGTACACCAAATAAATTTAAAGCTTATCAGTGCTCAGGCTTGGGTACAAATATTACTGAGAATATGGAACAGGTGTTAATGATAATGACACCGAGTATAAACTATGTGGTATGTTAAGATCTCACACCCTCACCCATTATATTCTTGATTGTCCGTTGATTAATGTCTATAGAAACACTGAGATAAGGACTGTTCCTGGACAAACAGCCTGGATGTGTCACAAAGGAATAATTGAGGATATTCTGGAGAGATATAGGAATTTTGTACCAAGATTGTAACCTTTTGTTGAATTGTCTGAATGTTACTTCTGGGGCATGTCTACTGCAAATGGTGTGTGTACCTGGTCATACAAGTATTTGTGTGTACGTCTGGTAACATACTGCATGAGTAAAGGAAGAAGTGCATATATTTATCACTCAGATTGTCCCATAATATGTTGATTGCTTGTTATGTGTTTTTATATATATATATATATATATATATATATATATATATATATATATATATATATATATATATATATATATATATATATATATATATATATATATATATATATATAACTGAAAACTCCATACCCCAGAAATGACTCGAACCCATACTGCCAGGAGCACTATGCAACTGGTGTACAGGAGACCTTAATTACTCAACCATCAGTGACCATACAAGGGTTAAGTAAACACGTCTCTGATCCACACATATATATTCTACAACTATACAAATCCAAGGAGAGTATGAGAGAGCATCCTCGAGGTTCTCTGCTTGTTCATCTCTCACTGGTCGGTTGCCTTTCCTCTGCCGTTTTCTCTCGACTCCGCCGATGAAGATTGATGAAGATTAAGCCACCCAAAAGGTGACACGGGCATGAATAGCCCGTAAGTGGTGGCCCTTTTGAGCCATTACCAGTATCAAGAGCTGATACTGGAGATCAGTGGAGGTGGGAATGCACCCTGCATGACGGGAGATGTCTCCCGCGTGAATGTGAGTCCCTTAGAATCACATGGCTAGCACAGAGAACGTCCGAATCCGTGAAGGGCAAATCTGCGACATTGCCCTCCGAAGCCGTTCCATGAAGATTGACGTGTCCATCAGCTCATTGTATGGTGTTGGATGATCAGATCACCAGGAAGGCGGAGATCGGAACCATACACAAGGCTGAGAACCCACTGCCCTCTTTAGTTGCCGAACAGATGCCGAGGAATACCAAAGGAAAGTTGTCGATCCACGAAGTTGGGTCTGGTTGCGCCCTTAGAGCCGCCTTCAGTTGGTGGTGAAACCTTTCAACCAGCCTGTTAACCTGAGGATGGTAGGCCATAGTTTGGTTGTGTGTGGTACCAAGGAACCGCATGAGTTCCCTCCAAAAGTGTGATTCGAATTGTTGACCCTGGTCCGTGACAATCGTTGCAGGGGCTCCAAAATGCGAGGCCCACCCATGAAGGAAAGCCCGAACTACTGATTCAGCTGTCATTTCCACCATAAGAACTGCCTCGAGCCATCTGGAGAAGCTGTCAACACACGAGAGTAGGTACGAGGATCCTCCGGGTAGAGGAAATGGACCGACGATGCACTACTTCAAATCTGGCCGATGGTAACGGAACGTTCTGAAGAGGCGTCTGTGTGTGTCGATGTATCTTTGATTGCTGACACTGGAGGCAGTTGCGACCCCAACTTCGAATATCCGTGTTAATTCCTGGCCATACCATCCGTTTGGTCAGGAGGCGCAGTGTAGCTCGGATGCCCTGGTGAGCCATGGAATGGAGAGGCGTGAAGATCCTCCGCCGATGGGTCTATGGGATATATGGCGGTAGGACGCCAATGAGAGACGTGTCACATGTGATAGTATCATCAGAAATAGACACAGGTACGTCGACGAGCCGAAGTGCTGAGGAAGAGGTGCGCAATTGTAGGAGTTTCAGGTGTTGGCCTCTAGCAATTTCTGCATAGTCAATGTGGGTCGTCTCAGGAAAAAGTGCACACAAGCCAGGTCATGAAAAGGCATCGGCGACGACATTCGCCTATGTTTCAGTCCCCTTCACGTGCCTGATGTCAGTCGTGAACTGGGATATATAGCTCAAATGTGGAGTGACTCGCCGCGAGTGGGACTGTCCCATTGTTGCCAGGGCAGCAGCCAGTGGTTTGTGGTCGGTGAGGACGTGGAAGTCACGTCACTCGAGAAAATGCCTGAAGTGTTGAATAGTTGCAAATATAGCAAGGAGTTCCCAGTCAAATGTGCTGAAGGTTTTGTCTGCCGGCGTTAAGCTTTATTAAAAAAACGCAATGGATCGCCAGGTGTCGTCAATAAATTGATGGAGTACCGCTCCTATTGCAGTGTTGCAGGTATCCGTTGAGAGGCTAGTTGGTGCATCGAATACTGGACGGGCGAGGAGAGTGAGTTGAGCTGGTTCCTGCTTAAGAGTGTTGAACACTACCTCAGTCTCTGGTGACCATGGCAGGGGTACTTTGGACCCCTGCTTACGCGCACACAGGAGGTCATATAAAGGTTTCAGGATGTCAGAACAGTGTGGGATAAACCTACGGTAAAAATTATCTACACCCAGGAATTCTTGAAGCTTCTTAGTTGTGGTGCGTGTCGGAAAATCTCGGATAGCCACGATCGTCTCCTCTAGTGGCAGAATACCTGTGGAGGATACTCGGTGGCCCAAGAAGTTGTGCTCGGGAACCTCGAAAATGCATTTCTCTAGATTAATCTGCAGGCCATAGTCGCGGAGGCGAGTAAAAAGTATACAAAGATGCTTTCGTTGGTCAGCCGGAGAGCGACTCGCTATTAGGAGGTTATTAATGTAGGCGTAGCAGAAGGGTCTCTGACGACCTGATCAATGAAGCGTTGGAATGTCTGCCCTGCATTACGGAGACCAAACGGCATCCTAATACATTCAAACAAGCCAAAGGATGTTGTAATTGCAGTTTTGGGAATGTCCACTGGCTCCACTGGGATTTGGTGAAATGCTCGTACCAAATGTATTTTTGAGAATGTTGTTGCCCGATGTAGCATGTTAGAGGAGTCCTGACTGTGTGGGATTGGATAACGGTGTGGCAGGGTGTGAACATTCAGCGTCCTGTAGTCCCCACGGGGACGCTATTTTCCTGGAGTTGTCTTCGGCACCGTATGCAGTGGAGACGCTCAGACACTGTCAGAGCGTTGGACAATCCCAGCAGCTAACAGCTTGTCAAATTCTTCCTGGCCACCTGGACACACTCTGGCGGCAGTCCGCGCTGTCAAGCGTAGGTTGGTGGGCCCGAGGGACGAATATGATGGGTGACTGTGTGCTTAACCTTGGCATTTGGCGCCTGTGGCTGGGTGATGTCCTCAGATTCCTCCAGAAGGTTCTGCAGGTCAGGAGAGTTATGCTGGGCAAGGCTATAGCGAGTAGCCGTTGCTCTGTACTTACCCGCTGGAGCCCACTACACGTCACATCCACCAAGAGGTTGTGTTGCACCCAGTATAGGCATATTAACTTCAACAACGCGGAACGTCCATGTGAAGCGACCGAAGTCAGCAAAATCAAGAGTGACCACATTATCTCCGTAGGTAGGTACGACAGAACCGTTGGCAGCAACCATATCGTGGTGTGGAGTGCGAGGTGGCTTGTGCGCTGGAGGAGGGAGAACAGAAACTGAAGTACCTGTGTCAACCAGGTAACAGCGCCGGGATCGACCATATAGAAAAGTGCCTCATCCAAAGCGGCGGGGTTTGCAAGTCGTTAACAGACTCCACCGGAGCCGTTTCCCGAATAGGCACATGGTTGGCGGCAGTTCCGAGCTCTAGCCTCATACCTGCGATGAAAGTAGCAAGTATGGAGTCAGCCGTCAAGGACAGGCTGCGGGACTTGCACTGGGAATGTTGGCGGCTCTGAATAGCACTGAGGTGTTGGCTGTTCATTTGGGTCGTCACTGTTGAGTGGTCAGAGGCAAGGGTATTTCCTATCCAAAGTAAATTTCCTGGTGCACTATGGATTCGGTCTGCAATTTTCGCCAAGCTCTCTGGCATCACATCGTCGCTCTGGGCAAGGAGTAGCATGCGAATGTGTAAGGGCAATCGTTGAAAGAACAGAATCCGGAGCTGGTCATTGTCACTTGCTCCACTCGCCGGCCGTAGCAAGAGCTGCATTTGCTGAAGAATTTGGAATGGTGTTCGATCCATGAGGCTGCAATAGCTACTATTGGTGAGGAGCAGGTCACTCTGGCGGCTTCTACATACCTTGGCAGCAGCGAGTAGAGGTTAGTTTACGGGCTCACCATAGCTCGTGCTACATGGACACTTCGTTCTGACTAGCTAAATCTAAAACAACAACAACATAGTAGAGGCCAGTTACAGCTCCACTCCTGTGCCAGGTAAGTCCACTACGGGCTCACCATAGCCCGTGCTACTTGGAACTTTTGTTCCAAGTAGCGAATCTTAAACAACAACAACGAGTAGGGGTCTTCAGAGCGGCGAATCTGTGTGGGTTGGCGGTGTTATAGCCACAGCTTGTACCTCCTGAATGGTGTTAGGAGGCAATGCCGTCACAGTGAGTGCATATTGCTCTGCGTCGTTGGTTACCTTGTAAGCGTCAAAGCAGGCTCCTACCTGTACAAACTACGCCTCTGGGACAGACGGAAGATATGCTGGTAGCTTGAATGCGGGCGCCATTGTTTGTTTACACCGTGTCTGGGGAAAACACTGGTGTGGAATCGACTCCGGAGTTACCACTTTAATGCCCTACTAGCCACCAGACAAGGATTAGGTAAACACAAGTGTCTCTGAACCATATATATATATATATATATATATATATATATATATATATATATATATATATATATATATATATATATATATATATATATATATATATATATATTCTACAACTGTACAAACCCAAGGAGGGTGTGAGAGAGTGTTTGGTCTCCTGTGGGTCTCTGCTTGTTCATCTGTCGCTGGAAAACATTATTTGTGAAATATTGATATTGTTCTTAAAAAATTCCCCCATTTTGCACCCGCCAGATAACGTAAGATTTTAAGGGTTGACAGATGTTAATCTTCTAATTTGAGGAGCTGTTCACTTGAGACAGTTAAGCAAGTCCCAGTTGTGTCTGGGTACAAGTTTTTATTTTATTTTTATTTTATTTATTTTATTTATATATATACAAGAAGTACATTGGGTTTGTGAGAATACATTGGATAGTACAGTATTTACATTCTTGTAAAGCCACTAGTACGCGCAGCGTTTCGGGCAGGTCCTTAATCTAGTAGATAATTTTAAGTAGGTAATTTCTATCAGAATTGATAAATGATAAAGATACATTGCAAGAGAAAAATGAGATGAGAGAGCTTAGTAAGTATATTAAAGCACATTGTTATATTAAAGCTCTGATTGATTACAATGACAGCTTGATGTAACAGGATGAGAAGTGACAGGATGAACAACCCAGCGGGTTTTCTTCCTGTCGTACATGTGGAGTGTTGTACATGTCACTATGGCGGTGTGTCCACTCACAGCATGAGTGGCGCTGCCCAATAAAGTCCCCCTCGGGGCAAAATTAAAAAAAAAAAAAAATCTGTCGCTGGTCGGTTCCGTCTCCTCTGCCGTTTTCTCTTAACTCCGCCGTGTTGTAGGGGGTACTGAAGTCACTTCAAAGTGAAGCGAACCTGACCATCACAGGACACAGCTGTAATTACCGTCTTAAGGCAAGAAGCAGGACTACGTACATCGGGATTCATATTCTGGTGTTCATTTGAAGGTTCCTACAGTTAAATATTAACCACATTTATTGACACAGAGTTCAGCAATAGTAATGGACAAAGTATATTCATAGTTGTTATATCTGTTGAATGATGCCCATTATCTACATCTATAATCATGCATACAACAATAGCTATATTCTAAATATATGAATTTTATCGAGTGATCCGTGATGTATCCATAATATCCATTATAGATTCTCATTATCAGGAACAGGAAGCCTGTTTGGTTTATCGAGATCACATTAGCCAATGACTAACTTTCTCCAGAAAGCCACCCACAACAGCCTCCTAGCACCAAGGTATCTACTTACTGCTATAGAGGCATTGGATGTCTAGGCAACGTACCCGATCGTTCACCCTACCCAGGAATCGAATCCGGGTCCAGCTGGTTGTGAGCCAAGTGGGCGGAGGTCGGGCGGCTGTCGGTGGGTGAAACACCGACCATGAGAAGCCTCAACACTGGTCTTTACCGTGGACAAAACACGTTATTTTATTTGAGAGAAATACACTGTCACCCAGAGGGTATCACTGGTTACTATAGCAGTTGACTGATTCTATAGCAGTTGACTGACTCTATAGCAGTTGACTGACTCTATAGCAGTTGACTGACCTAATGGTAAGTAACGCTGGTCAACTAACAGAGGCCATTGGGATAATGGTTACTGTAAGAATTTTAAGTTCATATTTCGTTGCTTGCGACAGAATACATTATGCTATAGTTCAGTGATGAGAAACACAATAGCTGTCACACAGCGAGCATACATCATGCCTGCAATGTTAACACTGGTTAACAAAATTGATATTTAGGCCTACTATAGCAGGTAGTTAACAATGTTAAGGCTATGTGGTGGTATGTTAGCAATATTAGGCCTACAGTGGGGGAAAGTTAACACAACAATTATCCCCCTCATATTGCAATAAGATTTACCATGGGTTGTAAAAAATATTTACACATTTTAATTAAATTTTATTGGTGTTTTGTAAAATAATTATATACAAAAAACTGCAGGCGGTAATGCTGTTAGCAATAAATATGGTAGAGTGCATATTGAGAGCCGGCAGTGATTTAAGACTCCCTTAAACACAAGTTCATGTTACATGCTACTGTGTGGAGGGCGAGGCGCCATGACAGCCGTCACCAGTGTGGCCGAGGCTACCAGCCCCTGACTGTTGGTCCATCACTCCACCAGGTCACTGGTCCCTCCCAGTGGAGGGACACTGAGCTGCGGTAGTCTCCCCAGCAACATTTCCAGATGTTGCTGGGCTTGACCAAACCGTGTGTTGCAGCATGGTATCGCAGAAGTGTAACTAGGTAGGCCACACGGCCTCATAATGATCAGAGGCGCACTCTCACATGTGCTGGCATTCCCCTGAACACGGAACTCTAAACCCTTGCAACATCTGCTAACATTGTACAGATGTGAACGCTGATGTGATATATGTCGCATATAGTATAATTAATATTATCCTCACAGTCACCACCTTCAAGGTTTATCCCTGTATTTTGAAAACCAATGAGCAGTGTTGTCATTGGCAAGTATTAGTCGAGACAAAGACATCACCGGGAATGATGATAGTGGAACTGTCGGTAACTTGGCCCAACACAGGACCAGCCCAGACCGGCGCTGCTCCTCCTGCTCAGAACATAAGGTCGTCATTTCCTTCCGGTACGGTTACTGACGAATATGGTTCCCAGGAGCGCAGATAATATTTTATTAGGTAACACTGGCCTCCATCAGTGAACTTCTACAACTGTTCGGTGAAGACGTACGCGGGGTTTTTGTTGCCCCGGAGTTGTCCATGGTGGGGAGGCCGGGGCAGCCGTGTCCGCCGCTGGACCAGATTATTGACTTCCCTCTTAGGGTACACTGGCGCTGCCACAGGTCTGTTCCAGGTCTGCTCCTTCGACGATGCCATCAAGAAGTTGAGGCAGTTGGTAAGTGTTAGGATGATCGCTCCGGTGTACCAAACCATCCGCCACCGCTCTAGCGTCGCCTGCAATCAAATTAATATATTTACTGTCTTATTTCAAATTATCCAGCCCCGAAAGAGCAGCAAGATACAGTTGCAGCTTCACCTGCATGTATGTGTATCTGTATGATTAAAACATCGAGTAGGAGAAAATAAGGACTTGATCGGAAGTGTTTTCATTGATGGTCAGACATTATATTCTAGTGGCAAGAATGAGGCTGTTGGCTCTGCACGTTTGCTCTCACCTAGTTGGTGAGTGCATCTCAAAATAAACAAAAGAGATTTTGTTAAATTTAAAATAGAAAGATAATCTGACTTCAATCAAACATTGAGGAGTAAATGTCCAAAATCACAAAGCAATATTATTTGATATAGAAGAGAATAAATGTGCAGAACCAACAGCCTGATGCTTGCCTCTAGAATGCAATGTGATGTGGTCCTGAAGTGGATCACATCACAGCAAAACCCTCAAGCAACTGATAATATACGTGGAGCATTTCGTCAAATTATATCGGTATTTTGTAATGTACTTTTGAAATTTGAAAATGCTAATGCACACAGATGCAATGCAAAGAAACATGTAAAACACACGCATACATGTACACTCCTACCAAACACGTGTACATGTACACCCCCACTCCACAAACACACGTACATGTACACCCCCCACCACACACACGTACATGTACACCCCCACCACACACCCACGCACATGTACACCCCCATCCTACACATATAACTATTAGCGTACAAGAGAGGACCAAGGAGAGGGTTACTTACCTGGCCGTTAGTAAGGTAATGTTACGGAGCCCCTTCCAATTTCTCCCCAGATCCATCATTAAGAGTCATATCTACTAGACCTACTGATTCTCTGATATGCAAGGAGTCTGTTGGTATATGTATGTGGCAACCAGATCGGCCGCTTAATAAGGGAGAAATTTGTAAGGGAGAAATTTGCGTTTATAAGTTGGTAGGTAAGGGGGGGAAAGTAGCGCCCTTGATACAAACAAAATGGCGCCCCCTTCTAGCAAATTCGCCATTTTGTGGACGGCGCCAGCCGGCCGCGGATTGGCTGGCTTATGTCACGTGCCGCGGGCGACCAATCAGAGACTGCCGTGATGTCACCGAGTGCCCCCTGGCGGCGCCGGCGGAGGTAACTTCAGAGTTGACCTGACTGTGAGAGTGGAAGGACGTTCGTCAGTCAGCTCTCGAGGATTGGAGACTCTGAGAGTCTTACTCAGTGGATTATAGCTAGCCATCGCAGCCCACCATTGTTATTGGAGACCTTGTGCTTCTGGAAGCAAGAAGAAACGAAGTTTATTGGGCAGAGAAGGGCCAAAACTTGGAAAATCGGTCGGCGACGACGCTGGAGGGCGCTGCCTGACGCTGAGGGTCTGGACGGTGTGGCGGGCAGGCCTGGCTGTGACTGGATCACATTCACTGAGGTTGTTGGAGGGATGACACCGTTCCCAGGACGAGGAGCAACGCCTTGTGGAAGGAACGAGTGTGTGTGTATAGAGTGATTAGCTCAGTGCTCCCTGGTTGGTCCAGGATTGGGATATCTGAAACTGGGAGTGGTTCGGCGACGGCTTCATGACCCCTGAGGACTTGCAGCACGGTACTGGATCATCCAGGACCGACTCAGGAACCGTGGGAACCCAAGCACCATCGAGGGACAGGCGTCGTGAGCCAGGAATGTTGAAAGTAGATTAATTTTCCCTCCCATTACCCCCTTTTTGAGTAGGCCAGATAGACTACGATATTTATCTATACGAGACACTCGCCTGGCGTTCCGCGAGCGCTTTGTCATGGGTTCGTATCCTGGCCGGGGAGGATTTACTGGGTGCAAATCCTTAATTGTAGCCTCTGTTTAACTCAACAGTAAAATGTGTACTTGGTTGTAACAACCATTCTTCGCGGCGGGGATCGTATTCCAGGGACCTGCCCGAAACGCTACGCGTACTAGTGGCTGTACAAGAATGTAACAACTCTTGTATATATCTCACATGTTTCTGTATAACAGTGATTCATTAGTTTTTTTTTTTTTGAGATATTAGGATAGGCTGTGAGACAGCTTGCGTCCCGGACTGTTGAAGAGTTGCCCGAAACGCTTTGCGTAATAGTGGCTTTAGGCATTGTATGTACTAGCTCTTATCTATAAAGCCAACAAACTTTGTAAAATCTCTTTATGTATGTACCTTTGCCTAAATAAAAATTATTATTATTATTATTATTATAAGAGGACAGTGTGTGGACGACGCAGCAGTCAAATTCACCCCCCCCCGGTGAGAGGGGGGGGGTGAATTTCCCTTTTAAATCTGCCCAGCTGACGGAGTGGCGGAGGTCGTGAGAGAAGAGTTGTAGCCCATCTCCAGATTATTTATTCTTTATGTCCATTAAATGACATAAAGAATAAATAATATGTGATCATGTAGCTTGTGTTAATAAATATCACATATTTTATCATTGTGTTTAAATGTGCCTCCATTCTGATCTCTATGAGCATGCACGAGGGTTATCATAGTTCCACCTAGTAAATAGTACGTTTTCTATAAAAGTTTCTTAATGGCTGGAGAGTGGTATAGCAACACAGACTTTTATAAAAGAGTACCTTGAGCTAGCGGTCCTGTACTCACCTAATTGTGCTTGCGGGGGTTGAGCTTTGTCATTGGTCCCGCGCCTCAACTGTCAATCAACTGGTGTCAATGTTGTATAAGTAGCAACACTTTGGCAACAGGCTATATAGTGTACACCCACTGAACTGCACTGATGGGGGTGCAAAAATATCAACCCAGCTGGCGATCTTGTTAAGTGAGATACAGAAGGCAGGCAGGAAAGTAATTCCTGCAACTTTTGTTTGGCAGGTAAGACCCAAGGGTAAAAGGTAAGCCTAGGTCTTCCTTCACTCCTCTGCGGGTCTAGGCCGGAATTGCTAATGGCAGTTTCCCCATGGTTGACTGAAGGGCTCCCAGGGTGGATCAGTGGCACCCCTAGTGGTGGGAGCGAAGACCTGCACACACACACACACACACGTACGTACATGTACACCCCCACCACACACACACATATACATGTACACCCCCACCCTACACAAACAACTACCAGTGTACAAGAGAGGAGCAAGGAGAGGGTTACTCACCTGGCCATTAGTAAGGTAAGCGACATAGAGCGGGGAGAGTATCTTGACGGAGGCGCTGATGGTGCCGCTCAAGCCAGCGATGGCGGCAGCGTGGTTGGGTGCCAGCTCGATGCTGTTGACGCGGAAGGTGGAGAAGGAGGCGGAGAGTCCCATCACCAGGGCCATGGAGCTCCACACCATGACGGCCACCTGCGAGCAGCTGGACTGGGCCACCCCGATCAGACAGCCCGCCGTCACCAAGGCACCTGTCGCACACAAGGGTTTCATCAGCCATACTAATCAATACTCGACAAGTGCTTCAGTGTATGACATAGACACCTGTCTAATACAACCATTGTTATGGACAATGGTTGGTTTTGGTTAGAGTTTCTCACTACGTAAAGAAACTCTTTAGTAGTTTCTAACTGAAGGATAAGAGTATCCTTGACAATGGCTTCTTGTTACAAGTGGGCCGTCCCTCCGCCAGTGTAATGGCGAGTCACGACCTCCCACTCTTAATATGTTCCCTTTACCGTTAATTACATATATCAACAGTGAGACAGATGGTTACATCAACAGAGAGGGGGGAGAGAGCACTCACAAACGGTGTTGGCGACGCGACGTACGACAACAGTGGAGCGTCTGTTGGTCCGTCGTATCCAGTCAGAGAGGGTAGCGTAGACCATGGCGATCACCCACATGGCCATCAGCGCTGTGCCCCAGGCCACGCGCACCTGTGGGAGCGGACAACAAGGATGGAGTCATTCTCGCTAGTGGGTGTACACACCTGTCACACACGCAGATGTACACATTACACTCGTAACCACTAGTAGATGTACACATTACAATACACATGTGGAAAATATTTCCCACTTACAACACAATTAACTACGTAATAAGTTACAACATAATTAAAAGTATGTGCTCGCATCTGTTGTTAGTTGGATGTAATTATAGGTAGCGGGAGTTGGTTAAGCACTAGCAACCGGTAATGGGTAAGACGACCCCTAAACACCAGTAAGCATCTAATCACAACTGAGTTAATTGAATGAAAACAGTGAGAATGTTAACATAAGTTGTGTATTTCTCCTATTAATTCTGCATTGTCGGCAGGTGGGAGGGAGGGAGGGAGAGAGAGAGAGAGGGAGGGAGGGAGATCATATCCACTACCACAGTTAGGAATCATCTGACCAGATAAGACTAACTATATTTACTAACGGCCATTCAGATAACACAGAGATTTAAATACTACCAACAGCTTATTCAGTCCCATTAATCTTGAATATAATTTTAATTCACGATTACAATTCCCGTTCTATCCAAAATAACACTAAAACTATAAAGTCCCAACTGTGGGAATTGTGTGGAAATTACAATTACCTGTGTTATATAGTCCATTCAAACTTAATAGGAATTTAAATAAACAATCCACTTACTAAAATTACAATAAAACAGACTTAGCCACATATAATCCCACAACACACGCACCGAGACGGCTGCTGGCGGCAGTATTCCAACACGACATTCCTTGGGTATACATATATTAAGATCACTTGTGGATGGATGTACACTTTATGGTTCATGTGTACTATCATCACTACTGGGTGTACATAGTACACACTGCACATGTACTGGAACCACTAGCAGGTGTTTACCTCCTAGTGCATGTGTACTAGTGCAACCCGTTCTCGCACTTGCTTCTGTCAATATTGGCTTATTTAATAAGTACATATGTGACATACTAATTGATTGTGAATATTTTGGTTTACCTTGAAAAGCTTCATAGAAAACACCGACCTCACCTAACCTTCTTAGTATGTTAAGATAAGCTTCTTATTTACAATTATTACTTAACCTATCAACGGTATAGGTTAAGTAATAATTGTAATTAAGAAGCAATAAGAAGCTTATCTTAACATACTAAGAATGTTAGGTGAGGTCAGTGTTTTCTATGAAGCTTTTCAAGGTAAACTAAAATATTCACAATCAATTAGTATGTCACATATGCACTTATTAAATAAGCCAATACGGACAGTAAGCAAGTGCGAGAACGGGTTGACTAGTGAGGAGGTCGGTTATACACGGGAACGGGTCCTGGGAGGATAGTATGGTAACTAGGGGAGGGAGAGGCTGGAGTACTCACCTGGGGGAGGGGAGTACTCACCTGGGGGAGGGGAGTACTCACCTGGGGGAGGGGAGTACTCACCTGGGGGAGGGGAGTACTCACCTGGGGGAGGGTGTACTCACCTGGTGAGGGGGAACGTGGAGGACGGTGACAGAATATTCGCGGGCGTGGTGGAGGAGAGTGAACCAGGCCCAAGAGAAGCCCAGCTCGGCCATCACCACGGCCACCACGTGTCGCGACCTGTCGCAACACAACACATTTACCTTACGCTATTATGCACCCCAAACACTCCCACGTCTCCCATGTGGCTGGTGGACCCACGACCAGCATGTGGGCTGTGGACCACATGCCCATCATGTGGGCTGTGGACCACATGCCCAGCATGTGGACTGTGGACCACATGCCCATCATGTGGGCTGTGGACCACATGCCCATCATGTGGACTGTGAACTACATACACATACCACCATACCTGTCCCCTGAAGAACACATCAAAAGGATAAAATCAGCGGCGTATGCAAGGCTGGCAAACACAAGAACTGCCTTCAGGAACTTGTGTATTTAATCATTCAGTACCTTGTATACTTCATATGTCAGACCAATACTGGAATATGCGGCTCCAACCTGGAGTCCACATCTAGTCAAACAAAAAAAAAATGGCTAGAAAAGGTTCCGAGGTATGCCACCAGGCTAGTCCCCGACCTGAGGGGTGTGAGCTACGAGGAAAGATTACTGTACTATTAAAGGCTGTTAAGAAAGTGACAATGCAACATTTCAGTCATGACTGCCTTACTCTACGCCTTTCCAGAAAACGGACCTTAAAATTATTTCTTTGTCTTCATAAGGAGGTTCTTTATGTCCAAAATTAAATCTGAAACTTTGTCATCCCTGTATGGAGTCTTTTAAGACACTTTACATCCACCTGCAGTACGGTGTCCAGGTTGTGGAGTATACACATGCTAGGCAGAATGTTAGTACCTGGAGACATGAAGAGTCGAGGGCCAGGCAAAGGAATATACACTCATACACATTTGTTCAGTTACCTGAAGATGTGGAACCAAGGCACCGGGAGTCCTCGCCAGGCGTGCTGGACCCCGATCGACGAGGTGATGTGGTTCTTCTCCTGTAGTGAGATCCTGGGGTGCTGGGAGGGGTTCTCGGTGACCAGGAAGTACCAGAGGATGCACCACACTAGCGCCACCGCTCCCTGGCTATAGAAGAGCCCTCGCCAGCCGATCATCAGCACCAACCACTCTGACAGAGGACCGCCGAGCGCTGCCCCCACCGCCAGACCTGCCACACACAGACACCTCATGTTACACTGTACCCCTACTACACTGTACCCCTACTACACTGTACCCCTACTACACTATACCCCTACTACACTATACCCCTACTACACTATACCCCTACTACACTATACCCCAACTACACTACGTCTCACTACGTCTGACACGACGCTCGTTCTTCAGCAAGGTACGTCTGGAGACGTTAATGAAACATAAAATATAAATTTATCTTTAATCAAAAGTCTGTAACAAAGCCTCAAAAAAGGTAAAATGCAGAATACCGAATCATATTATATTTAGAGTGAAACAATGAGTCTTGTACAGCGTAAACGATGCAATAACACTCGGCAAAGTTAGAAAAAATGAGCAGAAAACTCTCAAAATCTATTTTATAGAAAATATTGTAAACGTTCTTGTTGAAGACTGTCAGTTGATTATACAAACCTTAGGCTATAGACTCCCCAACCGTTGATAACAGGCTACCAGCGTACTTCTTGATCAGCTGGACATTGTCTGCGAAGGAACAAACATTCCGATACTATACAGAAAAGAGAAGCAGGAGACAGAGACTTACCAGAATATGTGAAGGCGACCATAACAGTGCGGTCTAGGGGCGGCGCCCACTGTGCTAAGACGGCTTGCATGGCTGGCACACACACGCCCTGTAACAAACACACACTGTAACACACATATACACACTGTAACACACACACACACTATACACACTGTAACACACATATACACACTGCAACACACATATACACACTGTAACACACACACGCTGTAACAAACACGCACTGTAACACACACACACACTGTAACACACGCCCTGTAACAAACACGCACTGTAACACACACACTGTAACACACTCACACACACTGTAACACATACACACGCCGTAACACACTAACACCCTATATGGCATGATATATCAGATAACCAAAAAGGTTATGATATATCTGTTAACCATACAGGGCATAATATAGCTGTTAACCAAACATAATTTAATATATTAGCCAAACATTGTTTAATATATTAGATAACCAGATAGGGTATGTTATACTTGAGATCTAGTAGGTGTATGTTATACTAATCAGACTGGGTATATTAAATAATCAAACGGGGTATGTTACATCACATATCTGTACATGTTATGATAAACAAAAGCCAATCATCTTATCCCTCCATATACAGCAATTATAACTTGGATAGGAAACTTCTTTTTTACTATTGGAAATATCTAAGAGCCTCAGCTTCAGAATCCTTCCTGCACGCTTGCAGGTCTTAAACTGCCTGCTCATCCTTATTCATCCTCAATGGCTGGCATTCAACATGTTTCCTATGGCGATGTTGGCACTCGAGGTTTCGATTCACAGTAGCCTTCACCTCTTGCAATGTTATTTGCATTCCTTGTTGTTGAGAACAGTTATTTCTCATTCTTCAGAAGCTGAAGCCATCCTTACTGAATGAGTTCAGATTCATAGTAGTTTCTACCCGCCAAACACACACCGAAACTACGACGTTGGTACAACGTTCGAACAAGTTTTAACACCTCCTAACCAGTTATAACAACCAATATAGTAAGTTGTAACAACGTTCTAATACGTCATAAACACGTTAAGCCAAGATGTAACAACTTTATTACAAGTTGTAAAAAGCGGAAAATAGAGACAGTTTCGGTTTGTGTTTCCAGGGTATTCAGATATCGTGTGACTGGCGAGAATATGGTGGCCTTGTCATCGACTGGATGAAGTTATGATTGAAGAAGGCCATTTGTTCCTGTGACAGTGAAGAGAGAGAGCATCAACCAATAATCTGACAACCACCTTCCATAGTCACGATTGTCATATGCCATCTGTCCTGGCAACATGTCATATGTTGATGATAGGTTCTCTGAACCAGTTCTGGCATGACATACATCAATGTGTGTGTACAAGAGGAGTCTAAAATCTCTAGAAATGATATCCAGAAGTCTCATGTCTGTACCAAGTCTCTCGTGGACTCTGTCGGTCAGATCCTTCACTCCAGCATCATCCTCAAGATCACTGTCAGATTTCTGTACAACCTCTTGTGTCTCGAAGAGCGCATTGCGCAGAATGTTGAGGTTCTTGATGGAGTCTGACAATTCCTCATGCTAAAGTGTGTCTCCGTCGTTTCCGGATAAGAAACTCTCTCTGGAGCATGACGAAGTGCACAGCCCGTCTGTACAGCGCTTCCCTCCCAGTGCTCGGTCAACAGAGCCCCTCGAAGTGCTCAGTCAACAGACCCCTCCCAGTGCTCGGTCAACAGACCCCTCCCAGTGCTCGGTCAACAGACCCCTCCCAGTGCTCGGTCAACAGACCCCTCCCAGTGCTCGGTCAACAGACCCCCTCCCAGTGCTCGGTCAACAGACCCCTCTCCTAGTGCTCGGTCAACAGACCCCTCTCCTAGTGCTCGGTCAACAGACCCCTCTCCTAGTGCTCGGTCAACAGACCCCTCTCCTAGTGCTCGGTCAACAGACCCCTCTCCTAGTGCTCGGTCAACAGACCCCTCTCCTAGTGCTGGGTCAACAGATCCGTCCACCACTACTTTTGTGACCATTGAGAGCTAAGGTTTGTGTGTCATCAATCAGAAAATTGAACTTTTTGTTCTGTGAGATTATTTCTGTTGTATTTTTACTCTACATGAAAGACTTAATATGATTTTTTTAATTATCAGGGGAAAGCGCCAAGCCATCACGACTTTATAGCACTTGGAAGGGGTCAGGATAAGGATTTGGGATGGGACGGGAGGGAAGGAATGGTTCCCAACCACTTGGACGGTCGGGGATTGAACGCCGACCTGTATGAAGCGAGACCGTCGCTCTACCGTCTAATCAAAGTGGTTGGGTGACCTAATATGAAGCCTCTACTACAATTTAAAAAAAAATGCATGTTCCAAACTAAAAATTGGCGGCCATTTTGAATTTAAAGATCAAATTTAACAAAAGTCATCAAATCGACAACACAATTGAATTCCTAGATTCAAACAATCCTAAACAACTTGTAACTTTGTATGTAACAATGAAAAACTAAAAAGTATGTTAACATTTCAGGCCAAACCAATAAAAAGATGATTTCCAAAATGGCCAATGGCCGCCATTTTGAATTTGTGGTTGTCATGAGCTAGGCCACCACTTTCCCGAGGGACGCGGGGACAATATTCTTATTTAACCTTCATACAGCACAAATCCACTGAGAAACGAACCTTCGATCTCAACGGTGACAGAGGTACTGAAAATGATCCACCGAGAATGTTAAGAGAAAGTCACTGGGTTGTGAACTAAAGCTTCACGGAAGGTGTTGATATTACACCATCAGAACAGGCCACGTCACTCAGCTCGTACTAGTAACAAGTTAAACATTCTCTAATAATGATATATAAATTTAGACGTGACGGTGTTAAGGACTGAAGAAACTCTTACTGTAACTGCTGAATACCAAATTAAACATTAACTTTGCCGACATGAAGAACTTTTCAAACTTGAGATAATAGAGGTAACAACCACTACAACAACTTGAATATAAAAGCTATTTCTTAAATGTTGTCTCTTGGCTGTTAGTAATAAAAGCGAGGAAATTCTTACCTCAGCGGCGCCCACCATGATCCGGGCCGCCAGCAGCCAGTATGGGCCGAAGGCGGCGGCGGTGGGCGTGAGCACGGTGAGTATCGCGGCTAGAAGCACACCCATCAGCAGCAGCATTTTCCCGCCCATGGCACCCGTCAGCCGACCACCCACCAGCTGCGTCAGTATGTAGCCCCAGGAGAAGGCTGCCCGCAGCCGCTCCTGCAGGTCGGCCGCCCACACGAACTCGCCGTCCTACAGGCAAGATCAACACCAGTAAGCAACACCCTCAAACACTGCACAAGGTCAAGGCACAATTAACACGCGGAGGACTCATTATGGAGACAGATGAATGTAACAATGTTACCTGCTGGGGCTCGGGCCGCTGGATCATGCGGGGCTCGAAGCATACAGTTGAAGGGAACTTCTGTCCAGCCAGGGTGATCTCTCCGTTGGCACTCTTCGTGTATTCCTATGAGCCAGGGAGAGATGAGCATCAGGAAGGTGCTACAAGCACTAGGATAAACACATCATGAACTACCAGGAACAGTGTAATAACCTCATCACATACTCATCATGAACTACCAGGAACAGTGTAATAATCTCATCACATACTCATCATGATCTACCAGGAACAGTGTAATAATCTCATCACATACTCATCATGATCTACCAGGAACAGTGTAATAATCTCATCACTCATCATGATCTACCAGGAACAGTGTAATAATCTCATCAAATACTCATCATGAACTACCAGGAACAGTGTAATAATATCATCACATACTCATCATGAACTACCAGGAACAGTGTAATAACCTCATCACATACTCATCATAAACTACCAGGAACAGTGTAATAACCTCATCACATACTCATCATAAACTACCAGGAACAGTGTAATAATATCATCACATACTCATCATAAACTACTAGGAACAGTGTAATAATATCATCACATACTCATCATGAACTACCAGGAACAGTGATAAACTCACCGATGATTTATCTTCATCACCTTCTTCTTTGTCCTCACCTTCACCATCTTCATCTTCATTATCATCACCATCATCCTCATCATCATCGTCATCCTCATCCTCATCATCATCATCATCATCGTCATCCTCAAAAAGAGACTCGTCACTGCCACTGTCATCGGAAGAGTTGCCGTTGGCCACAAAGGACCCATTGTGTCGTCTGAAGCGGTGGCCGTTGATGTACTCTCGGGAGTCGTTACTGAAGAAGTGGAGGTCGTCTAGCTCGGCTGAGTTAAACTCTCTGGCTTCGTTACTGTCGTCCTCGTCGCTCTCCTCGTTAGACTCCTCAGACTCGCTGGAGTCGCTGCTGAAGGAGCTGCTGTCTCCACTCTCAGACTCGCTTGACGACGAGCTGGAGGAGGAGGAGTCACTTTCAGTCGAGTTGGTTCTGTTGTAAATGTCCCAGTCCTCACCCAGGATCCAATTCAGACTTCGGGTTCCATTGCCAGCTATTTCGAAATCAAATTCTACGTTATGTTCGCCTTCACCATCAATTTCCTCAACTTCAGATGCTGTCATTGCTTGTACAGTTATATCCTCTGTTTCATCAAGAACCTCTGTTTCATAAATTTCCTCAGACACTCCAGCTTTCTTTGTGTCATTCTTGACTTTTCCTGACTCACAGCTTTCAGTCGGTGAGCAGGAGGCAATGTGCTCCTCGCTGTTGTTCGACGAATTCACGTGTTTGTCTTCCACTGATCTTTCCTTGCGGAGTCTTATGGTGTCTGTTATAGCCGAGCCGTTAGTAGCTACCTTTATGTTTGGCAGCACTCTGGCATTGACTTCTCCAGTAGTAGCGATTGTGGGGGTGATCTCTATGACTGTTACGGTGGTCTTGGGAACAGCTGTGTTGATAGTCTCGGGTCTAGTCTTTCCATCTGCAGGGGTTTCCTGAGGTGGAATAGCTGTGGTAAAACTATTTTGATGAGCAGTTTGTGTTTCATGGTTATTTACTTGGCTGGGAATGACAGCAGCCATGATAGTTGTGGACTTGTTGGATGGCAGTGTTGCGTTTTTATTTTCAGAGGGCGTTGTGGTGGAAGGGTGTTGTTCAGTCATGCCAGAAGGCGCTAATGTTGACATGATGTCACTCTTGGTGGTGCTGGTCGTAGAGTCACGTTGAGTTGGGGTGACTGCTGTGATGTCTTCAAGACTAGTAACAGTTGGTATGATATTTTCAGGTGTGTCAGGCACTGTAGTGCCAGCTTGTGGATATCTATTGCTATTAAGAATAATTAAAGTGCTGCCAAGGAGGCCATCAAAACCATTTGCACCAGGAACAGGAAAATTAGTAGTGTCCTCGTTTACATTTAACAATTCAGCAAATTGAGCGAACTTGTCAGAGCGCTGTTGTGAGGAAGAAGACAGCGTGACAGGGTGGTCGCTGGTGACGGTGGTGTACAACTCTTCCTCATCAGAGGTGCCGGCCTCCGTCACGTAGGGTGTAGTAGTCTCCAAATCTTCGTTACCTGAAGACTGATCAGGTACCTGATTCGTGCCCATTAGGTGCGAAATGTGGCCATAAGTAGCACCTCGCGGCAGAGTGACAATGAAGCCATCGTTGTCATGTACATTGCCCGCCTGTACCTTGGTCGTCCCTGCTGCAAATTTGTACAGACCAACTCTTATGGGACCGTCTCTTATGGGACCTATGACATCGCCATGACCCACCACAGAGCGGGTCGGATCGACACTGGTATCGAAGGCTGCCCCACCTTCGTCAGGCGGGCCACTCCCTCGGAGTGGCACAGGTCCCTCCTTCATCACAGGTTGGATGCCCATGCTGGAAAGAGAGTAGTCCTGACCGTCAATGGCTGTGTGGTTGACCATCACCGGCAGCGCTACAAGGAAATTGAGTTGAAGCATGTAGATGTTTATAAAGCCCAAGAAGCCCATGAGGACAAGGATGTGTCTGGTGGCTATGGTGGGCCTGGTGCCAGCCTCTCCAGTGATGGTCGTGGCTCCACAGTTGCCGCTCTCCATGGCCGCCTCGTCTCCACACCCTGAAACATAAATACCGTCAGTCCTCTTATTATTAACATCTTTACTGATAAAATATACTAATTTACCTAGTCTGAGTAACTCAACTTGGCCTTATTACAGTGAGGTGCTGCTCGTATTCACTGTCACACAAGGCAGCAGGCCTAAATTGAAGTTTAAAGAACATTAATATTTAATGAGGTTACATCAGATATTATACATGTTTCACTTTACGAATTTGCATATGCAACTTTCTTTTATTCACTGCCACACAAGGCAGGGATGGATTCATTAGATATGCAACTACAAGAAATAATAAATAAAATTCTCGTTCTTCTTTCCTTAGAGCAAAGGTCTCGCTTCGTGCAGGTCAGCGTTCAATCCCCGACCTTCCAAGAGATTGGACACCATTCCTTCACCCCGCCCCGTCCCATCCCAAATCCTTATCTTGACCCCTTCCAGTGCTATATAGTCGTTATGACTTGGCGCATTCCCCTGATAGTTTCCTTTCCTTCCTTAGAACTGACAAGCAAATTTAGGAGATATTATTAGGATGTCGTCCAGTACACTAGATTCAATGAAGCAGTTGCATAGTGATTGTACAATAGGTCAGGAGGTCTAAAATCTTGACCAATTTTACATTTAATAATGTAGTGTTCCAGTGAATGCTTTAATGATTTGTCACAAAGTTTACAACCTGAATATTCTGGTAGTGTTAGTAGCACTAACCTGCTTTGGCTATAGGCACATCTGGCACCTGCCAGAAGTGCCTATAGCCAAAGCGAATTCGCGCAATGACTACATCACATTGCCTGGTCCGGTTACTGTGCTGACCATACACGTACCTATTATTACAAAAGTTGTCATAGCTTTCAGTAATGCAGCTTTCAGGTGTTTGGGCATTTCTTTGCTCTTCCATATCTGAAGTAATCTCCAATCTGTATTTTTTAATAATTGCATTAGATGGTCCAAAGTTATAGTTCATGTTTTCTTTCCTGCAGCCTCATTGGCCAATCGATCTACAAAGTCGTGCTTTCCATCTCCAACATGGGATAAGATCCACACAAATTTTATATAAAAGTTACTATCATTGGTAAAAAGCACATTATATTTAATATTACAAGCTACTTCAGACATTAATTGTGATGGGTTATTTAAGGACTGCAGAGCACTTTTAATCTCAAAATATCACTCCACAAACTATTGAGTTTAAGATGCTCAGTAGCTAGATAAACACCCAATAGCTCAGTTTGTGTCGTGCTTGTCCAGTCGTTCAGCCTGTGCATACTTGACATGAGCATTTCATGTGCGTTGTATACCGCACACGCACAAGCTGCTCTACCTGTGCCTAACTCAGCCCGTCCTCCAAAAATGGGGAGGTAAATGTACAGAGCCCCATAAGTGCAATTATGTACTATGTATAACAGTTAAGAATTGTACTTATTTACACTAAGTATTCAGTCGTACTGTCAAATATATTGTGAATATTTGAGTATACCTAAAAAGCTGAATAGAAAACCACAACCTAACCTAACCGTCTTAATTTGTGAAGATAAGAATTTTATTGCGTCTTAATTATAACTACTACTCAACCTATAGCTATATTTATATTACAGTTTTATAAAACAAAGCTAAAATATTTCAATAAATTGTAAAGTAACTCAGAATATTTTCAAATTTTGTATAAAATCTCTATTGTTTAATAAAAGTGAAAAAATCCTAATATTTATAACTTGTTTATAGCAAATGAGCCTTAAAATTTCATCTTAAAATTTTAAGTGTCCTAACAGAAAAGAGGAGATTTAAATTAGGGGAGGGGGATGGGTAAATGTAACAGCCCCATATGTGCAATTATGTACTATGTATAGCAGTCAGGAAATGCACTTAGTATTTAAACGTACTGTCAATTCGGAGGATGGGTTGGCGCCTGCCTAACTGCACAGTCATCGGTAAAGGCAGAGACTTCACTTGGTTTAAGATTTTGAAGTTGACTGTCAATGGCGTCGTGTGTTATGTATCTTATAGTGTCAGTGTTATAAGTTTGCTTTAAGGTGATGGGTGCATATTGTACAGGACCTGACACATCTCTCCAAGGGTGTATAATGTACAGGACCCGGCACATCTCTCCAAGGGTGTATAATGTACAGGACCCGGCACATCCCTCAAGGGTGTATAAAGTACAGGACCCGACACATCTCTCCAAGGAAAGAATATAATGAACAGTTTTATCAGCATTAAGAGACATATTCACCTTCATAAGATTATTGGCACAAGAACTGAGCCACACACTGTAGGGAATTGTTCGTGGAGGACTGAGTGAACAGGCTGTTCACTCTCAACAGTCAGAGTTGTTCAGAGTGGATCGCAATATAATTTGACTAGTGCTGGGAGGATCATTATTTGTCAACATTTTGGCACAAAACACAGTATTAAGTAGAAGCATTCTCTCATAAATGGAGAGTGATCTTAGTTTCTTATTCATGATAACAATGCTGACAGTTGTGGTGCAACTCACGATGATGCGCACGGTGTCATTTTGTACTACATCTAGCCCTTGTAATTGCTTAATAATCCTAATTAAAATTAGCAGTGATCATTATATATACCTGCAAATTGTAATTACCCCAAGTGTAATTACCTAAGTGTAGTTACAGGATGAGAGCTACGCTCGTGGTGTCCCGTCTTCCCAGCACTCTTTGTCATATAACGCTTTGAAACTACTGACGGTCTTGGCCTCCACCACCTTCTCACCTAACTTGTTCCAACCGTCTACCACTCTGTTTGCGAAAGTGAATTTTCTTATATTTCTTCGGCATCTTTGTTTAGTTAGTTTAAATCTATGACCTCTTGTTCTTGAAGGTCCAGGTCTCAGGAAATCTTCCCTGTCGATTTTGTGTAGTGTAGTGTAGTTACAGGATGAGAACCGCGCTCATGGTATCCCGACTTTTGTTACATTTACTCAGGTCTATAAGAAGGATGAAATAGCGATACGGGATATTGTTAGCAAGAACTGTAAACCCAATCTCTCTCTCTCTCATACGAGGTACCAGGCCCTGAGATGCACGGTACGAGGTACCAGGCCCTGAGGTGCACGGTACGAGGTACCAGGCCCTGAGGTGCACGGTACGAGGCACCAGCCCCTGTGGTGCACGGTACGAGGTACCAGCCACTTCACCTGCCTTGTGTTGGATAAGTATAAAGTTTCCCAAGAGGAAGGTGAGCGGGTGTAGGGGCCGGTGGTCCGGGCGGCGGTACTTCCTCCATCACCAAGGCCGCCCCCACCACACCAGTGGTGGGCGTTCCTGCCCCCACCACACCAATGGTGGGCGTTCCTGCCCCCACCCACACCAATGGTGGGCGTTCCTGCCCCCCACCAGACCAGTGGTGGGCGTTCCTGCCCCCACCACACCAATGGTGGGCGTTCCTGCCCCCACCCACACCAATGGTGGGCGTTCCTGCCCCCCACCCACACCACTGGTGGGCGTTCCTGCCCCCACCACACCAGTGGTGGGCGTTCCTGCCCCCACCCACACCAATGGTGGGCGTTCCTGCCCCCCACCCACACCAGTGGTGGGCGTTCCTGCCCCCACCCACACCAATGGTGGGCGTTCCTGCCCCCACCACACCAATGGTGGGCGTTCCTGCCCCCACCCACACCAATGGTGGGCGTTCCTGCCCCCCACCAGACCAGTGGTGGGCGTTCCTGCCCCCACCACACCAATGGTGGGCGTTCCTGCCCCCACCCACACCATTGGTGGGCGTTCCTGCCCCCCACCCACACCAATGGTGGGCGTTCCTGCCCCCACCACACCAGTGGTGGGCGTTCCTGCCCCCACCCACACCAATGGTGGGCGTTCCTGCCCCCCACCCACACCAGTGGTGGGCGTTCCTGCCCCCCACCAGACCAGTGGTGGGCGTTCCTGCCCCCACCACACCAATGGTGGGCGTTCCTGCCCCCACCCACACCATTGGTGGGCGTTCCTGCCCCCCACCCACACCAATGGTGGGCGTTCCTGCCCCCCACCCACACCAGTGGTGGGCGTTCCTGCCCCCCACCAGACCAGTGGTGGGTGTTCCTGCCCCCCACCAGACCAGTGGTGGGTGTTCCTGCCCCCCACCAGACCAGTGGTGGGTGTTCCTGCCCCCACCACACTCCAGCTGTCACCCACAGCAGGAGCCCCGCTTCACAAGAGAGTGTAGCGTGCTCCTCGTGCCCTTGTCATATACACAACACACAAGTGTACAACATTCCCTCCTTATAACGAGTGGCACACATCTCCGAGGTCACAGTAAAGCTGTAAGGTCCCGATATTTTACCGTGAGAGTGTTGGGCACATGGTGTTGTGTTGTGTGGGAGCCGATGTCGTGACCCCACGTTACTGGTGACCCTGACCAATAACGTGTGCTTCTTGACCTTAACCGTTGACCTTAAAATGTCTCTACATCCCTCCCCCCCCATCGAACCCCCTTTCCCCCCCACCTCCCCAGCCTACGGCACAAGTCCTGGCAAGACTCATTCATTGAAACCTTCTCCCCAACATGCTCGGGCGGCTCAGTCACCCTGGCAACCCCCCCCCCCCCCAACAGCTCAGGAATGGCCCAATATGGCACTAAAATATTGTGTTTATATTTCCCTGAGGCTCCACAGTACACTAGACCACACGACGTATAATATCCTTCAGATCGGAAATGAAGAAAAACATTGATTCAAAAACTACACTACAAAACCTTATACAATTTTACAGTCAGAAAGCAGAGAGACAGTCGCTGAAATCAAGAGACCTCTGAAAATGCTAACCAATAAGGGGAAGGTTGATCAGCTTTCTGTGGATTCCCTCCTACGTTGTTGGACTCTGTAGAAATGAACGAGCAGCTGTGATGGCTGCTGAGGGCGCTGAAGGAGACCATATTGAACACTTCATACCCAAGACTCTTGTACAAGTTAGAGGTGCCGCCAGACGTCTCAGACACGGTGAACAAGTGACTGAGGGAAGGAGTATAGAGGAACAAGTCAGTGAATGTG